CATAGACAAAAGAGCCGGGCAAGCTACACAGTCCATGGGATTGCAAAGAGTCAGACACAGCTGAGCGACTGACACACACACATTTATAATTTACCATATGTAAAATGTATGAGGCTGTTTATCAGTTTATTGATAATTATTCTTATCTGGTTGAGGCTCTGTGGATTACTGACCCTGTAGGTAGATCTTTCCTTCCAACAAAAAACACTGTTTTCTGACATTCATTTCTTAGAAATCATGCAGATTTAACAAAACATATCACTTAGCATTCTTGCCAGTAATAATTATGATGATCCTTGGGAAATGCATCTTCTTAAAAAAATTCTTAGGCAAAATCATTTAACCTCTCTGGGTTAGTCAGTCTCTGGGCCACAGGAAAGGAATGTGGACTAAATTCTCTGGATGTTTCTTTCCTGCTCTGTATTCTGTAGAAAGTGCATTCACACAGGGCAGAACGCTGAGTGCTCATGGTAATGATGTTTGAATGTAGGGGCCAGCAACCCCTTTGGAAGCCACGTGCAAAACTGTCGACTGGCGTTGGGAGATGTGTAGGACAGGTAGATGGTGCCCTGGCTTGGGGTGTAGGAGACAAGTGTGCTGACAGCTGACTCGCTTATCCAGGCTTGCTGGGCTACGACCACTGTGATTTACACAGACCCTTTCATCTCTCTACTTCACAGCATTTTTATGAACTCTGGCTCATTATTTCTTCTAGCACAGCATAAGAAAGGCTGATTGGTATCTTTTCAATTAATTTAAACCTGAAGAAACTGAACTACATAGAATTAAAAGGGATTCTTCCAGAAGTACTCTGAGTTGCAGAGAGGCAAGATATAGAAAGTGTTCATTCTAACTTTAGAACTGAAAAAAACAAAAAAAAGGAAATAATCTTAGTGCTTATTTTTTGAGACTGTGTAAATGATGGCACATTCATAATATGGGATAATATACATCCATTGCAGTCATGTTTATTGAAACTATTTAATGACTTCCCTGGCAGTCAAGTGGTGAAGACTCTGTCTTCCAGTGCAGGCGTGAGGTTCAATCCCTGGTTGGGGAACTAAGATCCTACATGCCACGTGGCGTGGCCTAAAAACAAATGTTTAGTGACACCAGAAAATGGTCATAACTGACCAATGTTAAATGACAACAAAATTTTTTTTAAAGTTTTGTATATAAAAATGTTTGATAAAAATATTTAACATATAGAGGGAAAAAGACTAGAAGAACATATGTTAGCCTTGGCAATAATTTTGTGTTGGGATATCAAGTGGTTGTTGTTTTATTCTTTCTACTTTTCTGTACTTTGCAAGTATTCAAGATGGAAGAGAATGGATACATATATTATTTTCATAATCATGTATTTTCATAATCATTATTCATAATTATTTTTGTAAGCATATGTATGTATGATCATCATGTAATTATAAAAGAGAGAGGATATGTGAGTGGAGTGGCCCAATTAAGTAGGATGGGAGAAAGACCTCTTTGGAGATCTGACATGTGAGCTAAAACCCCAGAGATGAGAAGGAATGAGTCAGTTAGAGAACCAGGAGACGCTCTTCTAGGCAGAGAAAACTGCAGGTGTAGAAAGCCCCGAGGTGAGAATGAGTTTGAAATATTCTAGGCCTTGAAGAAGGCCAGTGTGGGAAAGTGATGCCTGGTAACATCAGAGAAATTGCCAAGGGCCAGATCTTGTAGGCCCATGAGAAGACGTTTAGGAACCCTTGTAGGCTCCTGACATCATCTGTTTTACACTTTGGAAAGATCCTTCTAACCAACATATAAGGAGTCCAGTGAAAGGGGCAAATCTAGAAGAGAAAGCAATGCAGAAAGCACTGTGGGGATCCAGGATGTGAGAAATGAGGATGATCTGGAGTGGAGGGTGTAGGTGGGGGTGTGCATCTCACTTTAGCTCTGTGGGATAACACTCATCACCTCGCTGTCGTTAAGTTCTTGTTCATTAACATTCCCTATGGCCCTAGAAAGTGGGTGCAATTACTAACCCCAGTGGGGTTAGCTTAGGAAAGGCTTTGGAAAGGCTGAGCAGCTTGCCCAAGTCTGACTTCAGAGCCCTTAGCCACTCCCACACGGCCACTCAGGAAACATTGGCTCTACTGGTAGGTGTGGTGGCCGCCGAGATGACAAAGAGCGAGCAGAGAGGAGTGTATAAGCCACACGGACACCTGCTTTGCCAGCCATGAACTGCCTTCTGCCATCATTACTGATCTGTGACCTCTCCTGATGGCCTCTGAAGTTCAGCTCTATCTGCCTGCATCGCAGTTGGGGTCCCTCAGTGTGACAGAGCAAGGTCTGGAAGGCATCACTGAGACAGCCATTGTAGAGTCAGCGCCCAGCTGGACTCTGTGCCCACTTGGAGGCTAATTCATGGAGTGAGCTGTCACTTTACCTCTCAGGGCCTCAGTTTTTCATCTGCGAGTCCATCAGACGCAGGTTCACTAGCCTAGTCATTGAGACTCGTCCAGGGTTGTGGTTCTTAGTGTTGTCATGTTGATACTGTTGTAGCAAGGAAGATCCATGGGGTTAATTCATGCACTTATGTAAATATTGGTCCAAAAAGACTATTTGCCTGCATTCATGCACACACACAGTGCACACCCACACGGGGGAGGTTATCACAATGAAGAGGATAGAACTGAAGAACCGTGTCAGTCTCATCTTTTTCTTTTGGTTTTTCAATCCCTGACTACCTCTGACATCATAAATCAAACATTAAAAATTTTCTTCTGCCTCATTCTTGAATATTGACTTTATGTTTTTCCAATGGAAACCCTTTACATGTGAGTATGGACCCAATAGATGCACTGATTATATCTATTAAAGATAGGGAATTTGATAATACACATGTTTTGATGCTGTTCTCTCTAAACATCCCACCCTCGCCTTCTCCCACAGAGTCCAAAAGTCTGTTCTGTACATCTGTGTCTCTTTTTCTGTTTTGCATATAGGGTTATATTATCAAGGGTGAGGCAGATCACCAGCCCAGGTTGGATGCATGAGACAAGTGCTCAGGGCTGGTGCACTGGGAAGACCCAGAGGGATCGGGTGGAGAGGGAGGTGGGAGGGGGGATCGGGATGGGGAATACATGTAAATTCATGGCTGATTCATGTCAATGTATGGCAAAAACCGCTACAACATTGTAAAGTAATTAGCCTCCAACTAATAAAAATAAATGGAAAAAAATAGGGAATTTGCCAGGCACAGTTGTATAGATTTGTAATGCAAAATTCACACGTATTTTCTCAAATGAGGGTGACTTTGCCCCTCCTGGGGACACGTGGCGAAGTCTGGAGACATTTTTACTTGTCACAGCCGAGTAGAGGGGAGATATTACTAACATCTAGCGGGTAGAGGCCAGCGATGCTGCTAAACATCCTACACTGTGCAGGAAAGTCCCCACAACAAGGAACTATCCAGTCTGAAACGTCGGTAGTGGTGAGGCTGAGAAACTCTGGTATGGATTGATATGCAAACCCTTGTAAAGTATCATGAGAACCTTTATTCACAGAGGGAAAAGTCTGGTCACCTGGTCCTCCTTCCTGATTGCTGTTCTCTTGATAATCTAGTTCACACAAAGGTTGTTTTGTCATCTGAAGCCTTTGGGGCCAGAATGTGTCCTTTTGGGGAGAATGTGTAATTAGGAGTTAGAATCATGGACCAAGAGTGAGGAAGACATGACATTTTTCCAGAGAACATGACACAATCAAATCAGCCTTTGGTGTACTGTTGATAATGAGATCCAGAGAATTAAGGCAAGCTTGCCTCTGAGAGATGTCATGAATAGTCTGAAAAGGCCATTCTTATCATTTTATTTAATGGGAGCCTTATCTGATGAGAACAGAGCTTAGATAAGGTTAAGAGCGTGACTCTGGAGCCAGAGTGCCTGACTTCAGCTCTTGATAGCCATTTCCTAACTATATAATTTTTTTTTTCATTTGTGTTGTGGAGGTGATGCCATGAAAATAGTATCTATCTATAGGATAATTTTGAGAATTAAAGAAACTACACAGCTTAGGATAAATATTAATGATACTTATAAATATTAGTACTACTGTTGTTTCTTAAAGTCAGGAATATGGTTAGTTGAATGTATATACATTCATTCTTTTATTCAACAAGTAATTTTTTTGGCGACTACTATGTCCCAGGCACCAGTCTAGGGCTGGGAATACATCAGTGAGTCAAAAACATCAGATAAAAATCTCTGCCCTCATGGAGCTTACTTTTTAGTGGATTATAGTAGTAGTAATGCAAATAGAAAGAAAAAATATACAAAGTTATAGTCAGCCTAGTATTTGTCCTATAGTTTTTGAATGGATAGATATATTATTCATAGTGTTGTATTATGTTACATAGCTAATTGGGCTTAGATGAACTGTCATCTTATATAAGAAAAGAAAGTTAAACCAGTGTAATATGTCATGACAATAAAAAATTGAAACTATGGAGACTTCCCTGGTGGTCCAGTGGTTAAGAATCTGCTCTTCCATTTGAACCAGGGGGCACAGGTTCAATCCCTGGTCTGGAAACTAAGATCCTACATGCAGCATGGTGCAGCCCAAGTAAGATTTTTTTTTTTAGGTGCTACATGGAATTAGAAAGGAGAAATGAAATTAGGCCAACATCTGTGGCCATGATTTCTTCTTAAAATGAGCAGAACCTTTTTGTTTTCTTATCTTTGTATCAGACTTATAGTTACCTCTGGGCAGGTTTCTACGTTCTAGGACTTTCTCAGCTGCACCAGACACCTCTCTCTGTGTAGCTAAACAGAGAACAGTGTTGGTTATTATCAGATCACTGCAGTTGAAGAGGAAGAATCAACAATAATGCATTTATTCTCCAAAAGTAATTCACTTCTGAGAGGAAAATCTCCTTCCGAACAGTCACCTTATGAGTGCAGACTTCAGCATGCCCTGAACAACTTGGTTAAAATAGACTCTAGACCTTACTGATTGGTTCCTCATCTTTTCTTTTCCAGAAACCTTCTCTATGTCTACCCACAGAGGCTGAACTTTGCTAACAAACTAGCATCTGCCCGAAACATCACAATCAAAATCCAGTTTATGTGTGGAGAGGATGCCAGCAGTGCTATGCCGGTAAGGAGGGGAATAAACATTTGCCTCTAAGCAGGGTGGGCTGAACTTCCCTGTCAGTTCACACAGACAAAATCCAGGGCTGATCGGTCTACAGTGTGTGTTGATTCAGGCCAGCACCACTGAGCATGTCCAGAGCACTTCGTGGCTGGTCCATTATTGGTCCCAGGATACTGATAGGGAATCCGGGTCAGCCTAAGTCGAAACTTATTCCACAGTGAGCTGTGAAATTTGGAAATGCGTATCATTTTAGAAGACTGAAAAATATAATGAATTTATTCCAACCGCCCTTACAGCATAAGAAGTAGAGAGACAGGCCACAGGTGTCAGACATGTTTGCTGTACTTTCAGTTGTATGCTGTGATACACATCTATTCAAGCCCCAGGCCACATCTAGAGAATTTTAAAAAAAGTAATGCCTAGTAGCAAAAAACATACACCATCTCAACACCTTCTAGGAATGGATCTTCATCCTGAGGTAAAAGATAAATCAAATAAAAATATGTAATGCAGTGTCTCCTAAGGAGCCCCAAACCCCAGAATTTGTATTTTTTTAACCAGCTGCCTATAAATGAGATGGTGGTTAGCTATTACTGTTTTAAGTCATAGAATTCTGTTGAAGACATTTTTTCCAGTGCTCCCATTCTTCAAATATTCACTTTTTATAAAAGCATCTTTTAACTAATTAATCTTTTAATTTTTAATGGCCAAATTGTTTTAAATTGAAGTATAGTTGATTTACAGTGTTGTGCCAATGTCTGCTATATATACAGTAAAGTGATTGAGTAAACCATATTTTAATGTCCCACCTACCTTCCCAACACAACGTATCTTCTTGCAGTGGCTGTGGGGAAGAAAACCTAGGAGGAAGACTCCCCTAGTTCTCACTGCGGTCACCCCTGGCAAGTCCCATCAGGGTTGCCAGGTACCACTCTGCAGATCCTGATGGTGGCCAAGGTGCCCAGCCAGGGACAAGTAGGGGCCAGACTCTAGCCTGTTCACCACTCATCAAGCTCTGGGACCTGGCATGGGCATTATTGCATCTGGAAGGGAAGGCTCTTTTTTTTTTATTTATTTATCCAAAAGTGAGTCCACTTGTGAAGTCATGGGCCTTTTGGGCTAACGTGTGTCCAAAGAGGAGTCTTTCTAAATAGCATAAATGTGTGGCCAGTGAAGATCCTAATGACCAAAGTAACCAGGGAAAAGAGGCTGGAAAAGGGATCTCACTGAGGATACAACCCTTTGACATTGCCCTGAAGTATAGACCTCTAGGTGGAGAGGCAAATGGAGAGAGCACTGGCTTTCTACTCTCGCAAGCCTGTGGCCCTCGGTCACTGATGTAGCCCCTTGGAGTCTCAGTTTATTTTTGTAGCCAGTTCTTCTGCATCAGTTGGGTCACTTGTAGAAGTCAGCGCTCTTAATTTATAAAATACAGCTCTTAAGAGACCAGAGCATCCTACTGGGATGATTGTTGATTTGATTTACTCAAATATCACAGTTAATTTGACCCTTTCTATACTGGCAAACAGGTCATCTTTGGAAAATCCAATGGCCCTGAATTTCTGCAGGAAGTGTACACAGCCGTTACCTACCATAACAAGTAAGTGTATCCCCCAGTTTTAAACATATGCCAAGCTTCTTTCATTATCTCCTTGATTTTCTGAATCTTCTAGGTGATTCCTCCTACCAGTTTTTTAAATTCAGGGACTAAGGGACAGAAATAGTCCATGCCAGTTCCCTGATTCTGTGTTGCAGACAGACAGCTTTTGCCAGTAACTGCGATCAGGAGAATGTGTCTTCAAGAACCTAATGCTGCTTTGACTTTTCTGGAACCTTCTACCCTAGTATGATACTGAGAGGTTTTATGCTGTTACATAAAGAAAAAAATGTCCTGCTTAGCTTTGAGATACTGGAGGGGCCAGAAGCAAAATCCAGTCCTCCTTGCTCTGTCTCCTTGTTTTCTATACACCACTCCACACCTGTGCCACTACCTACTTTAAGGTTTAAGTTTACCAAAGGATAAATGGAATGCTCATTTTTATGTGGGTAAATTGAGTCACAGAATAATGTCTAAACTGTTATTCACATTTTCAGGATCAGATGGACTTGGCTTTGACCCCAGCTTGGTAACCTTGGCCCATATAAGTGCTTTTCTGAACCTACCCTCTTGGACTGAGATGAGGGTTAAATGAGTAATGTACATGAAGCCATTAGTAAACTCCTGGACTTCATAATTCAGTCAAATCAGGTCCCCTTTCCTGCCTGCATCCTACATTTGTTTTCCCCAAATTTTTGTTGAGTGCCAGCCGAGTGTCATACCCTGTTCTTGGGATAGAAATAGAAAAGGAGGTCAGAGCATGACTCTACACCTCATCCCTTGTCCAAATTAAGTTGTTGGATTTTTCTATTGTGTGCAGGGATTTTTTTTTTTTTCCTGACAAAGCTTTTAGTTTGTGAGCAGCCTTATGTAAGTGAAGTGTCTCCAGTGACATAAGCTTGATCTCAGGGACTTTCAGCTAGGAGCAGGCTGATGTAAAATGAAAAGTGAAACACCAAACAGGCAAGTCCTGAGGGGCAGAGGGTCCATGGCGTTACAATTTATAGTCAGAGAAGCCATCATTCTTGCTAAAAGTTATTCGTGTATAATGTGCTTTTGAAACAGGTCTCCTGACTTCTATGAAGAAGTGAAAATTAAGCTCCCTGCTAAGCTTACAGTAAATCACCACCTCCTGTTCACCTTCTATCATATCAGCTGTCAGCAGAAGCAAGGAAACTCAGTTGAAAGTCTCCTGGGATATTCAGTGAGTTGTTTTCAACTTGCAAATTCACACTGTGGTTGCTGGTACAGCCAGGGTACCTTTAGAGATAAGCAACTACATTCTCTTCACTTGCTTTTTTCCTGTCAGAAGTAGCAGAGCGGAGATGACTTGACTTAGCAAATGACAATTTCAGGAATGAAAGGTAGTGGGTGATCGATATGGAAGAGTACTCATTTATAAAAAAATATTACAATGTGCATTATTTCCAAAGTGTGTGTGTCTGTGTGTGTGTATGCTTCACATATAAAAATTACTTTTTCCTCCAAGGAGAAAGAGTTATTTCTTTAAAATATATAAAAGATAAACTGAACCTTGATATTCAGATGCACACAAACATTGGCTATAAAGAAAAAAATGCTACTAGTTTGGCTCTGAAAGCTGTGAATCATTGATAATACCATCTCAGGAGCTCTCAAGGAATTTAAAATGCAAAGAACTTGACAGAAATTACTGCCCAAAAGAGCCCTGGTCAATATCTAATCATCATTTAGTTGCCTTTGATTATTGTGAGCTAGATAAATTGCCAGAATTATATGCTGTAATAAATACCATTTTATTCTTTACATCATCTGTTTCAGTGGCTGCCTATTCTCTTAAATGAACGTCTTCAAACTGGATCCTACTGTCTCCCAGTTGCCTTGGAAAAGCTGCCACCCAACTACTCTATGCATTCTGCAGAGGTAACCAGCAAGCTGGCCATCAGCTGTTTCCTATCCAGCCATGGTCTTGGGCCACCTTTCTAGACCCACTTCCCCTTTCTTTATACATGACCAAAGATGCTCAGTCCATTTTGGGCAGCTGTCATCTGTCAGCACAGGGTGTTTTCAGAGAGCACATTGTTCTGACAGGATGGGAGAGATAACTGACTTTACAACCTCATTCATTTAGATTATTACCAATTCAGAATGTTTGATAAATTCAGCCTGTACCAAGGCAGCATTGTACCTTGTATTATCTATAACAGAGAGAGTTTCAGAATAGTGTATTTTAAAAGGGAAGCAAATACAGCCCACTTGTGCTAACAGTTGCTCTCAGCTGCCTTCCTTATAAAAGGTTCCCATGCCAGATTCTATCAGTTTCTCTTCTGGGTCAGTTGTCACAGTCCTCAGGTGGATATTGGGGCTCTTATTCCTCTAAAGATACCAATGTCAGCAGTCTTTCCCTCCTGTTTCCTGTGCTGCCTTTTTTGCCCACACATTCTGCTGCCGTCCACTCATTTAAAGGAGCCCAGTGAACACTCCCTTCTGCCTGCACCAGCACCAACTTTCATGCTTCTTGTTCTGGTTGGTGTGGGTTTACATCAATAAGAATTATTTTGAAACAGATACCAGACATCATTTCATTTCATGTATAAATATTTTAGTATTTTACCTTAAAAGATAAGGGATCTTTTTTAATCATCACAATATGATTGTCATACCTTAAAAACTAACAGTATTTTATTAATATCCTCAAATATCCAATCAGTGATCAAATTCCCAATTATCTCATTAATGTTTTTTTTTAACAGTTGTTTGTTTATGTGTCAGGATCCAGATAAACTCCATACATTGCTGTTGGTTGACATACATGTCTTTTAAGGCTCTTAATCTATAGGTTCCTATTCATCTCTTTTGTTTTCCTTGCGTATTTCAAGTTGAAGAATTTCCCAGGAATTTGAATTTTGTTCCAAATTTTAGAGTCAACTTTCTTCCCTACTCTGACTACACAGCTCCCATCCCCAGGCTATTCCATTTTCAGTTTCCTTTTTTTTTCCCCCTGGAGAGAGAAGCTTCCTTTGCTCTGGGCCACAGACATATTCCCGGCTTTAGATCAAAACTGGTCTCAAACCACCTAAGATCAACCTGAATGTATTCATAGGCATTCCCTAATTGCTTTTTATGATTTGGACATACAGCCCCTTGCTGAAGTCCTCAAAACCATCTTTTCAACATCAAGCTGCACATTCTAATTTCCTAGAATGCCCAATTATCTTTTTAATGATGCCAAACAAACCTGGATTTGGAGACAAACAAATCTCTATCCAAACCCAGATTCTGCCATGCCCTAGTGTGAACATGGGTGAATTGCTTACCTTCTCTGAGGCTCAAAGATGAAATCTAGCCCATATCTGCCTGCAAAGTTGCTCTGAACATTAAGTGAGATAATATATATCAAGCAATGCTTAAGTAGATATTAGTTCTTTTCCCTACTTCCCTAAGCTATCTTTATCAATATGCCCTCAGCTTCTCCTAATATCCTTTAGACCTGCACTGTCCAGTATAGTTGCTACTAGCCACATGAGGCTGTTCAGAATATGGTTTGTCCAGATTGAGATGTGCTATAAAAATAAAAATGCAAACTAGGTTTCAAAGACTTAGTAGCAGAAAAAGAATGTAAAATATCTCATTCATCATTTTGTATATGATTACATGTTGAAACCGTAGCTTTAGGCTGTACTGGGTTCAGTGACAGTATTAAAATTATCACATTAAATATATTTTTAAATATGGCTACTAGAAAATTTTAAGTGACGTAGATGGCTCATATTGTATTTTTAATGATCAGTATTGCTTTTTGTTTTTGTTGTTCAGTCACCAAGTCATGTCTGACTCTTTTGTGACCCTGTGAACTGTAGCCCACCAAACTCCTCTGTCCATGAGATTTCCCAGGCAAGAATACCAGAGTGGGTTGCCACTTCCTTTTCCAGGGATTGAACCCATGTCTCCTGCATTTGCAGACAGATTCTTTACCACTGAGCCGCCTGGGAAGCCCCTGTATTGCTCTAGCTTGCTGCAAACTCCAGTGTACGCAGGAGTCAGACTCTTTAACGAATGCCAGTTCCTGGTGGAGTTTGTTCACGCCGGAGACTGTCTTCCCATACAAGGTCCCTCTGCTCTTCAAATCAGTGCCATGCTGGGATGCAAGACCAATGTCTTCATATCTTCCAGTTCTCAAAAGATGTTAGAAAAGCAGGCTTTCATGTGAATTTGTCTGATTTTCAAATGTTTGGCAGCTAATTCAACAAAGTTTCTAACACTGGGCCAAACAGCACTTGTCTGTGGGCTGGATCCAGCTTTGGGCCCCAGTTTTGTGGCTCTCTCTGAGATGGGTCCAAAGGTCCCCAACCCATGTATACGTCCTACCCTTGCAAGTAGAGCATGCACCCTTTCGTTAAGATGCAAGAGACACAGAGCCTGCGCTCACATGGCTGGGTGAGCATAGCCCCTCTTCCCTCAGTGATGTAAGATGACAATTCCCTCATGATTTTAAGGCAAGAAATGGTCTCTGAGGACTGCAGGGCTATTGACATATAAATGGTATAAAAAGTCATTTTGAGTAATTAAAGCAGGAGCCTAGAAGGACTGCTACTCAGATACATTTTGTTAAAAGGGAACAAAACTGCAGTCACTCAAAAGCATTAAAATTTCATGCCTTCTAAAGATATTCTACACTTTGTTCTGGCATTGTCCTGATTAATGGAGAAATCATTAGGATATTACTTTAATTTATAAAATCAGGATTACCAGCTGCTGGATGCAAGCTTGAATTTGACAGGTCACTCACTTCAAACCCCTCCTTTCAGCATGAGAAAACAAAGTCCCAGAGAGTCTCACTGACCTGTCAAAGTAAAAATAAATAGTTGGGTGTAGAACTGAACTTGAATCCAGGGCTCCTAACTCTAAGGCCAAGTTGTGTTTTCCAGGGATTTTTATATTTGTATAACCCTGATATCTACTGCCAAGTTGCTTTACTCTCCTTGTTAGTAATGAGAAGAGGGAATTGAATTGCTTTTATTTTTCCCTTTTAATACAGAAAGTCCCTTCACAGAATCCTCCCATTAAATGGGCTGAAGGACATAAGGGAGTATTCAATATTGAAGTGCAAGCTGTTTCTTCTGTTCACACCCAGGTAAGGAACATCAAGGTCAAGTTTAAATCAGAGCAAAAGGCTAATAATGAAGATGTGCAACAGAGAGACTCCTAAGGACAGGTCAATGAAAGATCAATGAAAAGCTTTGTGATGGATAAAACCAAAAAAAAAGACCTTTTAGTTCTGTGTGGGAAATTGAAAACCTGTTAGGTTTTATTTAATGTTGAAAGAAATAAAGACCTTATAAAAATGTTGAAGCAGCCTGGTACCTTTGCTGTCAGACATTTCTGTCTGTAACTCTGCCATTTTTCCTCCAGCATTTTTTTCAGTTCTACTTTCCCTTCTTTCCCTGCCACTGACTTGAGTTTTGCATCAGCTTAGGCCCTTATTTTGGCAGTGTGTTTGCCTGGTGTATTTGCCCTTGCCTATAAACAGGTCAGAGTACAAATTAATTTTTCTTCAGTTAATGATTATTGAGAGGATCTATGTTGTGCACACCACTCTGCGAAGAAAGTCATAACCTGGGTCTGAAACATCCATGTCTTAGACCTTCTGCTCTGAAACACTAGATAAGTGGTTCTTCCTAGAAGTCGCTATTTGATTGTGTTTATGAATCCACCGGTGAGGGTTGATGGGATGAGACCCACGAGGCCTGCCATCTGCCTTCCCAGGACAACCATCTGGAGAAGTTCTTCACCCTCTGCCACTCCCTGGAGAGCCAGGTGACCTTCCCCATCCGTGTGCTGGACCAGAAGATCAGTGAGTCGGCGCTGGAGCACGAGCTGAAGCTGAGCATCATCTGCCTGAACTCCTCCCGCCTGGAGCCCCTTGTGCTGTTCCTGCATCTAGTGCTGGACAAGCTATTCCAGCTGTTTGTGCAGCCCATGGTCATCGCTGGTCAGCCAGGTAGGAGGCCTTGGGGGCTGGGACGAGGCAGGCAGTGCCTTATTTTAGAAACGTGGGAGCAGGGCCAGTGGGATCTATCGAGGCTGTGAGTCCAGAGGAGACCAAGTCCACTGCTGGTTTTTTTTTTTTCTTGGAGACTCCCTGGGTGTTTGAAAAAAGAAACATTAATATAGGATGCTTAAAGCTATAGATTTTTTTAAAAAAAGAAATGTGTTGGATGACTGAAGGCAGTCCTTTAAATTCCATTCTTAGTCATTGATGGGGGCTTCCCCGAGGGCGCATCAGTAAAGACTTTGCCTGCAGTGACGTGATGCAGGAGACTCGGGCTCAACCCCTGGGCTGGGAGGATCCCCTGAAGGAGGGAATGGCTACCGACTCCGGTATTCGTGCCTGGGAAATCTCCTGGACAGAGGAGCCTGGTGGGCTGTAGTCCATGGGGTCACAAAGAATCGGACCCAGCTGAGCACACCCACAGTAATTGATGGATTTCTTTTATCTCTGAAATATTTTTGCTGATTTGACAACAAGGGAATCCAGTGTTTTAAAGAAATGAGATAACCCAGATTAAATGAAGTAAAGGAACACTGTAAATTGAAATTCAGTGTGTTGTGATCCATTTTTTATTGAGATATAATGTCATACCATAAAATTCACTACAGTGCACAATTCAGTGGTTTTTAGTATATTCACTAGGTAATGCAACTATCACCACTACCTAATTCCAGGCCATTTTCATCAGCCTCAAATGAAACCCCAAGCTCCTGAGCAGTCACCCCATCCTCCCCTCCCCTCAGCCATGGCAACTGCTCATCTTAAATGCTTACTTTTAACAAATGAACCCTAAGTACAATGTGCAAGACTTCCTTTGGAAATAACATGAGGTAGTGCCTGGGTCCAGTGGCTTCTCTAACTGCTTCAGAAATAGACTGGCTTCTGTAGGCATCTTTGTTTGCCACTGTTTTCAGTAGGGCTTGTATTATTTTGTGTTTTCCAGCTTAGCAGTTACCTTTGGGTATCCTCCATGCTTCCAGTACTGTGCTTAGAGTTGTAGGTTTTGCAGTAATAATCAATAGGACTTGCAGTAAAATACAGCGAGGAGCAGCGGCACAGCACCCAAGTCCTCGAAGGAACACAGCTAAATGTTTTCAGGGGGGATAGTGAGTATCAATTTGGGAGGAAGAAGGAGCCCCCAAGAAGACTGAGCTTAGGATGGCTTTAAAGGAGGGATAAAAGAAAGAAGCCAAACTGGGAACAGTGAGATGAGATGAGATTGGCAAAAGCAGAGAACCAGAGTGTCTGGCTCACCAAAACAAGCGGTTCAAAAAAAAGTATCAAAATACACTTTTCTGGGAGTGTCATTAGAGAAGAAAATAACACTACCGGCCCATGTAATAGGATTAAGTTGGTGGGGAGGGAGTAATGAGCGTGTAGCATGGGACATACAGGGGAACTTTCAGAGCTAGGGAAGAGCGTGACCTCTGAATCCCTGGGTGTATTGTATCCTGGAGGGCATCGTCCATACCTGCACGGAGAAGCCATCCTGTGTTGTCAGGTAACTTCTCATACATGTAGCTGGTGCCTCTCCAGCCTTCCTTCCCTGGATTTCTTTCTACTTTCCTCCCCCACGTTTGGTATACTACTTTGTAGGCCATCCCCAGCTATGGACGCATTCGCTAGACAAAACATTCATACACACATTTTGAGCTGACATTTCGGACTCTAGAGTGTTGAAACAGGCAGAATAGTTGGAGGTGCTTATTCTCAAAGTATTTATTCAGAACTTGTCTGTGTCAGGCATAATAGAAGGCATAGCGGGGAGACAGCAAAGTATGAGAAATGCACTTTGGCCTAGAAAGGCTTCCAGCCTATCAGAGAGACAGAGTTTACCACTGGAAATAGTCTAAGAACCTTGTGCTATGGTGTCAATTAAGCCCGGGACCGAGTGGTGTCAGAGATTTCCTTGAGGAGATGGGATTGTGCTAAGCATTGAAGAGTAGGTATGGTTTTGTTGGTGGGAGCAATGTGGGCTTTCTAAGTGAGGATGACAGCATAAGCAAAATTGCAGAAGTGAGAAGCAGTTGTGATGGGGACAATATAAAGACTGCCTTATTCTAAGGAAGTTGAATTTGAACAGGAAAGGGTACTAGGTGGAATAAGTAGGGTGGAGTCAAATTGTGGAGGGCTTGGGCTCCTAAACCCAGAGCCTATATGGTGAAGCGTTGTTTGAACAGGCCCAGGGACTGACAAAATACACATAAGTTTTTAGGTTAATCTGTGTACCAAGAATCTGTGTTTTGCAACAGCCCATCTCAAACCAGAATGTGCTTAAGAATGACCTGGGCATCTTGTCAAAATGCCAATTCTGACTCAGTAGGTCTGGGGTGGAGCCTGATATTCTACACTTCTAACAGGATGCTAGATGATACTGATGGTGTCAGGGCAGTCCCCACTGAGTAGCACTCATTTACTGCATGGTTTCCAGAGGGGAGGCTATCTGGACACACTTGCATCTTTGTCCTGAAAAACCACAGCACTGGCAGAAGGAGAGATGTGAAGTCCTTTGCAGTAGCAGAGCCACACGCTGGGATTTACTAGAATGCAGTAGCAGAGCCACACGCTGGGATTTACTAGAACAGCTCACCCTGCCCCAGGCCACCATCTTGACTGGCCTGGTTCAGCTGGTCAGTGGCCAGGACCCCTTGTCACTGCCCCCAAAGAATGTTCCACCTCAAGTCCATCACGAACCCACCGTGGGGCCACCCATTTTTCTCTTGGTTCCTCAGCCAACTTCTCCCAGTTTGCCTTCGAGTCCGTGGTGGTCACCGCCAACAGTCTGCACAACAGCAAGGGCCTCGGCAAGGACCAGCATGGAAGAAACTGCCTGTTGGCCTCTTACGTGCACTATGTCTTCCGCCTGCCGGAGCCGCAGAGAGACATGCCCAAGTCAGGTACCGCCACCCCCACCGCACTGCTGCAGGATTCAAAGTAAAATTAGAAGCCCGGAAGTTACATTTTATTTTTCAGAGTGAGAAAAACTTACATGAGTGTTGAAATTGCAAGTTTATTTCTAGATTTTTCTACCCTGCTTTCTATCAGCCTTCCTCCTCTTTTTTTATACTCTGAGCACTTATTTTTTTCTGCTTGTTTGATAATCTGTCACTGATCTTTACCCAGTTGGTAAGTTCTAACCCAGCTGAGAATCTTTTTGTAAGAGCTAGGGAAGTAACAACAGATGCATAAGATTCTAGGAGATTAATGATAAGGAAAAAGTAAGTCTTTGATAGCAGTGGTAAGCAGGGGCTCCTAAACTTTACATTATGAAAAAAATAAATCCCTTTTCTCATTTCCTCCCAAACTAAACTGAAATAATAATAATTCATTTCTCCACTCAATCAGAACATCTGGTCAGCATGATATGAAAAGTAGCATCAATCCGTTAACAAAATTCTAGGCCCTAACAAAGGAACTTGGCATGTTTATTAGTCCATGTAGCCTCATTTTAAGTAAACCTATAATTTCAAATGTTTTTTAAAATACTTGTAATATTCTTAGACTTACATAATCACCTTTGAACAAATGTAAATACTTAAAGGTGAAACACATTGCTATATGGAGTATATTCATATTCTCATAAGGCTCAGAGGGTTCTTTGGATTCTCAAATCTCAGAAATGCAAGACTTATAAAGCTGTCACCATTTAAATATTAATAAATAAATATACCCACATTTCCAGCTTGTCTTGAGAAGTAATAAGCTAGAGCTGAGGAGCAGCCCTTGTCTTTGGATGAGACATGTGCTTGCAGTTTACCACAGTCCTCACCCCTCCCTACTGCCTTCCACCCTATCTTTCCCCCCAAAATTGTCTCCCTTAGGCATTTGCTAATAAGACCCTAATTCCAAGACCTAATCTGGTGAGTGTCTGCTCTACTATCTACTGCATCCCTCCTTAGTTCCTTCTCAAATCCAGTACGTGTCTCTGATCCCTTTCTGTTGACATGTCTGTACCTGGTGGGTTGCAGGTGGCCCCGCGGTCCTCCCGGACCCTCGCTACCACACGTATGGACGCACATCTGCTGCGGCTGTGAGTTCAAAGCTGCTGCAGGCCCGGGTGATGAGCAGCAGTAACCCAGACCTCGCGGGGACGCACTGTGCCGCAGATGAGGAAGTTAAGAACATCATGTCTTCAAAGGTAAGGCAGGTGTCAAACCCTGGATAGAGACGTGGGCTATTTAATTTCTGACTAACACTTGGAGAGACAACACAAAATCAGCCACTCCTGCTGCCTTCTGCCTTGGTCAAATGCACAGCTTTCAAGTTATTAAAATTCTTTTATTTTGAAATTACTGAGACCATTCTGAAAGATGTAGAGGCAAGACTGGCATTTGGGGGTCTGAGCAGAGTTAGTGGACTTTGGTGGGAAGTTTCTTATACCCTGAGTTTTATTTTCAGGGGAAAAAATTAGCTTTAACGGCTTTTGATGCCTAGAAAGGGTTTTTTCATTTTGTTTTGTTTTATTTTTTAATACCTGCCTTTTAGATTTGTTAACATCCATAGATTGATTATCCTGTGTAAGAACCCCAAAGATCAAAGCCAAGTTTTGTAAACAAAAATTGAGATCTTGAGAGGGTTGGTGACTTGCCCTAGATTGTTTTCCTTTCATGAATTCTTAATTTTTTTCATAAACTTTTTATTTTATAAAAGTTTTGGATGTATAGAATTACACCTATATATAACTGAAAATTTTTGTGTGCTCAATAGTTTTCCGGTTATTAACATTTTACATTAAAATAGCACATTTGTCACAATTAATGAACCAAATGTAACATGTTATTAACTAAAATTTATATTTTATTCAGATATTCTCAGTTTTTCCTGAATATGTTGTTTCTATTCTATTCTATCCCACCCCGAATACCACATTATATTTTGTAGTGATATCTCCTTAGCTCCTTTAGATTATGACACTTTCTTAGATTTTCCTTGTTTTTGAGGACTTTGACAGTTTCGAGGCATACGGTCAGGTATTTTGTAGAAAGCCTCTCATTTGAAATTTGTTTTAATTGTGATACAGTTCACATACTAAAAAATTCACCCTGTTAAAATGTATAATTCAATGGTTTTTCATATATGTACAAAACTACCATGAATTCTTAATCTAATTTTCTTTTCAGTTATCTGTGGCCACAGGGTGCCTAATCTTTTAGAATAAAGTCATTTTCTGTGATGAAGGCAAATCAGACTCTTTAGGTTTTGACATCATTTCCCTTGAGACACCCACTTAAGACAGTATGTTGTGAGACAGGAAATCTGGAGACCAGGGTTGGGTCTTGATCTGATTGCACTCAGGCCTGTGGTCACGGGCAAGTCTGTTCCTGCCCTGAGCCTGATTTTCCTTGTTTCTGCAGAGGTTCTGAACCCTGGTGAATGTAAGAATCATCTATAGATCCACTCCTAGAGATTCTGATGATATATAGGTTATATCATATGAAATCATGTGAAATACCCTATTTGGTTTACTGAATAAATGCAAGGATGTACTGGAGCTGGTTCATATCAACTTCTGAGAATTGATTGCTAAATTTCCAGGAATTTTCTGAGCCTATCGTTAAACACAGACATTATTAAAAGTTAAATTATATCAGTTAACACATAAGTTATACGAAAAACAATGGTTATCTATATGCATTGTGGTCTCCTGGAACAGAACAGGACACAAGTGGAAAAACTGGTGAAATCTGAATAAAACTTATGGTTTAGTTAACAGTTAATATGCAATGCTAATCTCTTAATTTTGACAAATCTACCATAGTTATGTAAGATATTAACATAAGAGGAATTTGGCGAAGGGTATGCAAGAACTTTCTCTGCAAATTCTGCAACTTGTCCATAAATCTGAAATTTTTCCATTTTTACAAGGGAGTACTCAAATCTCATCCCTTTGTAAGTATTTTACTACATTTTATTGTTATCTGTATTCTCGAGGTTATTTATGTCTGTTGTTTCTGTGCAGTGGAAATACTATATAGTCGGCTTGCTACTGCATATCTTCTTCCCAACACCATATTCAGTAATGTCATGTTAACTTGAAGTCAGGCATGATGGAAGCATTCACAGCACAGAAATTGGCAAATTCTACAGATCAGCCCCTCCCCTTTGAGAGCTGGTTGTTCAGCATTTGCCAGCACCCCGTGGTTCAGTTTCACATCTAAGTCCCCTTTAGGCAATATCATTTCAGATTGCCTAGGGGAGAAGTGGATAGCAGCTATTACTGACAGATTTGATTTTTACAGTTTCCTTTAATGAAAATGAAGATTTTAAATTTCTCTGTGGACTGGGTTAACAATTTTTTAATTATTTGGTAGTGAGGGGAGAAAATTTTGTCTAGAAGAATCAAGCCTGATCTTCCTTTCAGAAGTGGTTTTTTTTTGACAAATTATTAAATAGGGTAGAGGAGACTGGGAACAGTACCATGTTAACCCACAGAGAGGCACTGTTCCCATACATTTTTTTCCCCCTTCTCTTCCAGTTAAGTCAGAGACTTAGTTGAAGGGAATGTTTAGCATCCTGTGGTTCTTAACTAGGATGTGACTCTAGGTGGCTCCATACCAGCTAACAGTGAATATCTCAGAAGCAAGTAGAATTAGGTATACTTTACCTTATTTGCTTTGTTTTATGTTTATTTTTGGCAATTGTTTTACCTTTGTAACCAGGAAAAAAAATACATTAACAATGAATTCTAAGCTTGTGATTTCCAGGCCATTGGCTCATCTTTCTAGGGACCACTGTGGGTTGACTGTGGAATCCTGGTTTGTGTATTTCAGATTGCTGATCGCAGCTGCAACCGGATGTCTTACTATTGCTCCAGCAATAGTGATGCTCCAAGTTCAACAACAGCCCCCAGGCCAGTCAGCAAAAAGGTACCGAACAGGGCCGAGTGAGGATACGTTGCCCACCTTCTCACTGTTATTAAAAATAGTCTGTCCTTTCTTGCTCCTGCCCTTCTAATGTACACACCAAAGACACACACACGCCACACACACACACACACACACACACACACACACATACATGCACACACACTTTGGCAGCCCTGTTCCAGATCCCCCATTTTTTGACCACCCAGTTACCTCCTAACTCAGTGGTTCTCCAACTTACTGTGCATCAGAAGTAATTGGGTGGTTTGTGTTAAAACTGACTGCTGACCCCTAGAGTTTCTGATTCAGTAGATCTAAAGTAGGGCCCAAGGGTTTACATTTCTGACAACTTCCCATCTGATGCTAGTTCAGGAACCATACTGTGTTAGCTTCTTTTTTAGTAAAAAGAGAACTGGGGACAATTCATCCTCAACACAGTGAAGGCAGTAACTAGGTATCATTTATTTCAGTGGCAACCCACTCCAGTATTCTTGCCAGGAAAATCCCATGGACAGAGAAGACTGGCAGGCTATAGTCCATAGAGTCACAAAGAATCAGACATGACTGAGCATGAGCATTTCAATACTATATCAGACATGAAAAACTTCCTTGTAATTCTTTCTAATCAGCCTTACCTATGCATTCAGAGACTTGACAAGCTGTTAAACCGCTCACCAGGTCTCTTTACATTAATAGAATTCTCCAGTTGTCACATGTTGTGTGTGATCTAAGGGTGGGGAATTAAGAAAAAAAACAAACCCTGTCTGCCCTAAATTTTCACCTCTGCCTAGTATCCAAGGGTCTCACCAATTTAGTCGCTACTTAAGTTAATGTCTTGAGTGTCTTTCAAGACCCTTATTAAAATGTAAACATGTTGCCTGGAGAATCCCAGGGACAGGGGAGCCTGGTGGCCTGCCGTCTATGGGGTCGCACAGAGTTGGACACAACTGAAGTGACTTAGCAGCAGCAGCAGCAGCATGCTGATTGGAAGGCTAATACAGGAAACTCTTTGCAGAAGCTAACAGGGAAATAGGTGTATTCAACAGGCCCCAAGGGAATGAGCCTCAGCACAGCTCACTTTCCCTCACTTTGGTGAGGGAAAGATCAGGCCTGGGGAGGCCCTGGAAGGTCCAGTGCTGCAGACTTGGCACAAATCTGGGCCCTGCTTGTCTGGAAAGAGGTGCCAGGAGTTAATTCTAAAAGGAGAAGTGAAGGAAGATGTATGAAGTGTTGCAAATAAATGTGTCACTTACTCTATATCTTAGCTTTGGGCTTTGCGGGGACTGGTTACAACTCTATTTTCCTTCTTAAGGACCATAGTTTGCCAACAGCCTGTTTTCTTCAGGCAGGGCCTGATTTCTTCTGGGAGCAACTAATCTGTTTTGGTTTTGTTTCTGGTCATTTCACTGACCAGAAGAGAATCATTTCATTTCAGGGGGCCGTCTAGCCAGTGTGTCTCCTTAGGTGCTCAGCAAACAGGGTTTAGCTGCTTGGCTATTTTCCGTAACCTCCAGAGCAAGGTGTTCTTGTAATAATGTTGCCTGGTAAGCAACATAAATTACTTTAAGAAGCAGCTTATCATCCTCTAATCTCCTCTTGCCATAAGACTCTGGCGGTCAAACTGACCTATTTTCCAGAGGTTACCTTTGAAGCTCATGGAGCATTTCTTTCTTACAATGGGAAGATCTGGGTGTAGCCGAGTTAAATCACAGGCGAGCTTAGAAGACAACCTCCTAGATTAACATGCAGCCCTGCACCTCTCCCAAGAGGAGGAATTTCCCTGAAGTCTCACAACAACACACACATATTTTCACATGTATTAAAATTGTAAAGGTTTGACTCACTCAACAGAATGAAGTGGGACCAATGACAAGCAGAAACACTTCAGCATTCTCCATTTGTCCCCATTAACCATCCAGGGATGTCACCAGTTCAAATACCCAGACATCTACACAGAGGACTTTCTGTTTGTCTCCTTTTGGTTTATCTTAGTAACTCTCCAGTTTTACTGTACTTAAGAATCAGTAAATTGTGTTGCATACCTATTGTACAGTGTGGGTAATTTAAAGGTTTATCAAGGGTAAGCTTTGCTGTAATCAGTTTTTACTTTGAGTCTTGACTTTAAAACTTTATTTTCACATATGCCATTACCCTAGGATGTGATATTAGGGTATTCAAGTAGTTTCAGCTTTCTTACCCACTGAGCAATAAAAAAAATGAGTTCATCTGTATTTATTCTACATTTCATGGTTGTAAGATAAATGAAATCCATAGAAAATGCTCAGATGTCATTTTTGCCATCAGAGTAACCAGCTATCCCAGTTTTCCTGGGTCTTAGAGGGTCCTTCAGATGTAGGGCTTTCCATTTTAAGGCCAGGACAGTGTTGATTGGTAAAAAAAAAAAAAAAAAAAAAAAAAAACACAACTTAAAATTTGAGAGTTATGTTTTATTGGGGGACGTTATTGAGGACTGTAGCTTGGAAAAGTCTCTCAGTTATCTCTGAGGGACTATTTCAAAGAGTCAAGGAAAGAGCCAGGATTTATAGGAGGTTTTACTGGGGAAAAAAACAAAAACATGTAGTTGCATATCAAAAGATGTTCACAAAAACCAGCCATCTTGAGTTAATGATTTTAGTGTTTTTCTATATATGGGAAGATACAAGAGCCTGGGCTCATTGAAATTATTCCTTAGATATGCACCTTTACTATCTAGGGCCAGTATCCTGTCTTTTTCCGTCCTGAGTTCCCCTCAGGGTGCACTGTTTGGTCCATCATAGTGACTGATGGCTTGATGGCCTGGAAACATTTGTGGCTTAGTGAAATGACAGGCAAACTGACATGGGTTGGTTGCCTCACCTACAGTGTTAACCTTGTTCAACATCAAAGCTGTTGTCAAGAGTATTAACAAGTATCCAGATAAACTAAGGAATAGGGAAGATGCAAAAGGTGTAAAAAAATCACTGCTACATTTGCAATCAGATGAGCAGTCTCATGACTTGGTGAGAAGTGTAGACATAAAGTGGAGCATCAGACCCTGGGACACAGAAGTTTAGAAACTGAGAGAGTTCAAGCTGCTACCTCTATACCTTTTAACACAGATGATCTACTAATAAGACTTCCCTTGTAGCTCTGCCTGCAGTGCAGGAGACCCAGGTTCGATTCCTGGGTCAGGAAGATCCTCTGGAGAAGGAAATGGCAACCCACTCCGGTGTTCTTGCCTAGAGAATCTCATGGACAGAGGTGCCTGGTGGGCTACAGTCCATGGGGTCACAAGAGCTGGACACAACTTAGTGACTTAACCACCACTACTCATAAACTGAACTCTTCTCATTTCCCACAAAGCCATAGACAGATTATAAAAACAAAAATTGTTCTCTCTGGAAGGAGTGGAGTTACTGTCTTAACAGTGTTTCTCTAATCGAGGTTCCTGGACCAGCACATAACCTCAGGCCCCATTCCAGACCTGCTGAATCTGAAATGCTGGAGGTGGGCTCAGCAATCTGTTTCTTCGCAAGCCCTCCAGGGGAATCTGATGCACATTTAAGTTTGAGAACCCCTGCTACCAATCGAGTTTATATATGAGAAAACTGAGGGTCAGGAGAGGAATGGTTTACACATGGTCATGCAGAGGGTTTACAGTGGAACCTGGGAGGAAGATAACAGTCCCAGTTCCAACTGCTGCCCATGAATGCTTCCCCCATAGGGTCATTTCCCTGATGAGGCCATTCCTTCCAATCTAGCTCTCCAATACAGTACCACCACCAGCCTTCTGCCTGCTTAAAATGCCCTCCAGTCTCAGATTATTTCAGCACTGACTTTACCATCCACTGTGGTCTAAGACATCTGGGACACATGCATCAGTACTAACAGACTATTACAATTGGGAAAAAAGAAAAATTGGCAAATAAAACACCTAATACAGACTGTCATTACATGCATGTAATGTTTTTGTGTTTGTTGTCCAGCATTTCCATGAGGAGCTTGCCCTACAGATGGTGGTCAGCACTGGAATGGTGAAAGAAACAGTCTTCAAGTACTCCTGGTTCTTCTTTGAGCTTCTGGTAAGATTCTTGCACGTGTATATCTGTGTTCAACAGGGCACAAACAGCGCATTAAGATGGACAGTGAGGTTCAGTGTAGTAGGAACTGACATCTTCTCTGCTGAGCTGCTCCTGCAGAAAACTTGGGCTCAGTCCTTCAGTGTTAACTCTGCCTTACCCTTTCATCCACCTTCCACCAAGTTTTACTGATTCTGCCTTGAAAATATACCTGCACCTGCCACATCTCACCATCTTTACCACTCCCCGTCTGGTCAAGCTGCCATCATGCCTGCAGTCACCTCCTCTTTGCCCACATAAGCTCATTTTTGCCCTCTGCCCATCCAGTCTGTATAGGGCAACTCAATGTTACCAGATAATGACACTTTTCTCTTTAAAACCTTTCAGTGATTTTCAGAGTACTGGAAATAAAGCACATGTTTTTCTCACAGCCTAAAAGCCCTTGGATGATTCTGTTTCCCGTCATCTCTAAACTTGTCTTAAGACCATTCCTTGCCTCATTCAGCCACATTGTTTCCAGTTTGGTCCTTTGAGGATGCTGAGGCTTTTTCAGTCTCAGAGCCTTTTTAAGAGGCTCTCCCCACTCCCTACCTTTCATTTTGTCCGTTTCCTGCACACATACACACTTTGGAGGCTGGCAGGGTGGGGGGTCCTCTCTTTAGGTCTCAGCTTTGATGTCACCACCTCTTAGAGGCCTTTGCTAACTTCCTCATACCTTAATATGTCTACCACTCTATCTTCTCTTTTTAAACACCCTCTTTATTTCCTTCTTATTGCTTATCATGATTTGTTTTTCTCTCTTGCCTATTGGATTTTTAGGATTTGGGTCTATCTTCTTCATCATTCTACCTTTAGCTGCAGAACATGGCTTGACATCATACAAGCACCAACTAATAATCATTGAGGGAAAAAATGAAACTTGTAGATATGTTTACCTGTAACTTCTATCTGTTCTCTAGCAGAAAATCAAAAGGTATAACATATTCTTTAATCTAAAAATGAAGAGAATAATATTAATACCTATTTTATACTGAAAGTGAAAGGATTTTACCGTAAAGCCACTAGAATAAGCATTTTGTCAATGTTTATTAATGGAGATGCATGGTGAAATGAGCTTAAATGAAAAAGTATGGAAACACAGACACTAACTACACAAAAATACACACACAGACAATCCAGAGGATAAAGAGGGGATTGAAATTTAGTAATAGCATTAGCTTCACATTGACTGGATGTTTTTCCTCTGTGACACTGTTTTTAAGTGGATAATTTTTTTTAAGAGAAAGATGGTAGGATTTTCACCTGAGCTCTAGTTTATCTATGTAAGTTCAAGCCCAGGTGAAAGAGAACAATACTGAACATAGAGAACAAGACATGTTTTCTCTGGACATGGAACAGGACATAAGAGAGCAAGAGGGTCAAAGGAAACAAAAATAAAGCACACATTGTTGAGGAAATGGAAAGTGATGTGCAGTAGAGTTGAAAAGAAGTCTTTTTGGTCCCTTTTTGGCGCCAGGGACCAGTTTTATGGAAGTCAGTTTTTCCATGGACCAGGGGTGAGGGGAGGTGGTTTCAGGATGATTCAAGTGCATTACACTTACTATGCACGTTGTTTCTATCATTATCACATCAGCTCCACCTCAGATCATCAGGCATTAGGTCCCAGAGGTTGGGGATCCCTGCCCCGCCTTAGAGTTCCACCAGTTTCCCACCCCTCACTGGAAGAAAGTATTGCTAGAGATGTCTTTTCAGAGCACAAAGCCAGGTGCCTGCAGCAGAATCACCTGTGGGTGCTTAATGAGAATTGCACAGATCTGGACCCCTCCCTAGAATACTGAGTGCATGAGAAATAGGGAGCCAATGGTGCAAGCGCCTTCTAGGCAGGGAGTCTGCCCAAGCGCCTTCCAGGCGGGGAGTCTGCCCAAGTGCCTTCCAGGCACACTGGAGATCCGCTAGTGCAGGCTGCCTCTGCTCTATGAGGACCAAACGGAGCTAAGGGTCTTTGTGTGCAGCTAGCGCCAGGAGTTTGTATTCTAAAAGCCGAGCAGATTCAGGTGGATGGCTGCAGCTCACACGTCTTGGAGCAGCAACATTAGCAGTGAGACGCAAGTTTTGTGCTTTGGCAGGAAAAGGCTGGCCATAAACTCTGGAGGGAAGAAAAGAATCAAAACCACCCCTCCATGCCCAGTACATCCTGCTTCTTTGAACTCATCCCACTAACCATCGAGTTTCTCCATAAAGATTTACTGAGCTTATAATTCATCTATAGATAATTCATACAAATAATCTTAAACTGAGTTGATCTTCCATATTGCAAATTTTGAAAGACATGAAGCAAAAGCTCATTTTGATATTATAGAATCTCCCTGATGGCTCAGATGGTAAAGAATCTGCCTGCAATGCAGGAGACCCAGGTTGAATCCCTGGGAGAAGGGAAGATTCCCTGGAGAAGGGAATGGCTACCACTCTGGTATTCTTGCCTGGAGAATTCCATGGACAGAGGAGCCTGGCAGGCTACAGTCCATGGGGTCACAAAGAGTCAGACACAACTGAGCAACTAACAGATTTTTCATTTAGAAGAGACTCCCAAAGGAAAGCAGTATCTCAATTCAAAGATGTTTCATGTTGGGAATTCCCTGGCGGTCCAGTGGTCAGAACTCCGAGCTTTCACTTTTGTGGCCTGGGTTCAATGCCTGGTTGGGTAATTAAGATCCTGCAAGCTTCATGGTGAAGCCAAAAAAAAAATGTTTCATGTTATTTACTCACACATATGCACACATATCACTTAATCATTCTTAGATCTCATTTAATAGTTGTAAATTATCAGCTTATCATGAGCAGTTATCCCCAGTGCACACACAAGACCCCACGGCTAAGCAGGGGTTTGCCCAGCCCTCTCAGCAGGGAGGGACAGAGCCTCAGTTCCACAGTGCTCTAGTTCAAGTTCTGTTCCTCTGTGATTTTGCTTCTCCTTGGAAGCTTAAAGTTACAAAACATTTTCTTAGCCTAATGTATTAATAACATGTGAAAACTTTGTATTCTGAAGTCAGCTTTAATGCAGTGCCGCAATTACTATCCCATTCACAGTGCAATGAACTCAGCTTTGCTAGACCTGAATGGCTCCTTGTGACATCCTAGAGCTCTCTTTCTGAAGCGAGTTTGCATTCTCTGCAGATGTAATGATGACTCTGTCCTTCATATAGTCCCAGTAACAGCTGGTGTCCCCAAGGGAGGAAGAATAATAACATTTAAATGTGTTGAGCACCTAACTACGTACATGCCGGGCACAATGCCTTGTGAGCATTATCTTGTTGGATCCTCTGACAGTCTCGGACAGGAGCTTTTCACTGTCCCCAGTTTACAATGAAAAGGCCATAAGGAGGAAGTTTGAAGGCCATAAGGAGAAGTTTGTGGGCCCACCAAACCTTGTCAGTCCTACTTCAGTGCCCCTAACACCCTAACTGCAGGGAGCTGAGAACCGTGGAAAAGCTGAAAATTGCTTTTGATCTTGCATTTATTTACTAGGACTCAGTAGGCTCAGGAAAGAAAGCAAAAGTTAAAGCTGATAGGATTCTTTCCTCTAGGAGTCCCTTATGGTAAACAGATTAGAAGCTGGAAAGAAAGTCCTGCTGAGATGAGCACTTGGAGGGGGTTGGTCAACATGTAGATCTCCCAGGGCATCAGTTATCTAGGGCTCTGTAGGTTATAACCAAGACTGTCAGGGTCCTGGCAGTACAGCATTGCTCAAAAGGGTTACCTGAAAAGCATTTATGAAAGGGACTTTGCCCAGGGTATGTGCAGGATTACAGGAGTAGAGGAGGGTTGGTGAGACACCCAGGGAGCAGGAGGTGCTGGAAGCTGGGGTAAGGAGCAGTATAATCAAGGCTGAGAGAAAGCTGAGGCAGAGAACAGGGTCTGCATGACAGGAGCTGACATCAAAGAGAAACAGTGCCGCTGCCAGAAGCACGCTGCCCAGGCATGAATCCAGGCATGTACCTGAACCATTCTCTTCTCCTGCCCACTGGTCCCCTGATGGAGAGTCCTATTGGCCAGCTCCAACCAGAAGCCCAAGTTCAAGGAGTCCTGAATGATGCAGTCTGTAGAGATCAGCTTCCTAGGGCTCAGAGATAGATAAAGAAGGGCAAGAAGAGGAGCTGGAAGCTAGGATGGAGGCAGATGGGAAAGTCACAGCCCCAGCCAGACTTTGCAAGGAAACTGATCTTGGATTCAGACTGGGTGCCCAGTCCTCCACACATTGCTTATGCAGTTGCCTTACAGATGCATGAAAAGGTGTTTCAACACCAAAACAGCCATTTTCCCAAGAAGCTTGAAGAGAAAGGAACTACAGCCTCCTTGGGTTTAACCAACTACCTAGGCAATTTAACACCCTTTAGTTGTATTAATGCCCACGTGCTAATGAACAACCACTTTGGCATCATCAGAGCTGTTGAAAACAGTCCTTGGGCAGATTTCACAGTTGCTAATGAATAAACCCTCATGCTTCTAGAAACTGCTGAGCCAGACTTTGGGGACACAGAGGTAAATGGTGACCCACTTTACCCTGAAGTCTACACCAAGGGTTTCTTAGTAGCCCTGCTTTGAATGGGTCACAGAGGCCCTTATGGAGGAAAATATTTTCCTGCCTTAACCTACACCTTAACCCACACCTTAACCCACACTTAACCCACTTTAACCCACACTTAAACCACACAAATAATGACCAAGAATCCACTACTATTTCTAATGTGTGTTTCTCTCTGGAGATGCAAATGACACAGTAGTAGGCAAGTAGCTGACAGTCTGGCAGGAGGGCATTAGTTGGAAGTATGTTATTGTGAGGTTTACATATTTAGTTGTAGAATGGCCAAACTCAGCAGGCAAGAGCCAAACACAACAGTGCGTTCTAAAAACCCAGTACTGGGGTGGGTTAGGCAGTGGGGAATCAGGAGCAGGTAGCCCCAAACAAAGGGGCTTGTCTTCCTCGGTCCTTAGGATCATAGCGCTAGAGAGGTACTTTGTGGGACAAATGCCACGTCCAGTTCCTGCCTCTCATTCAGGTCCTCCACTGAGGATTTGTGACTCTATGGGGTACAGACACATCCCTGTGTCCTGAGCCAAAAAGGACTCTACTGTGAAAAGAAACTAGGGTTCTCACCCTGGGCTTTAGGATTTTAGATTTTTAGGTCTTCCCCAAGCTGGCCAAGGCATTGTCTTAAAACATAAAACACATTTACCTATCTGTCTGTTTTCGCTTCTTAGTTTACCTTTTCTTTGTTTTTTTTTTTTAATTGTTTGTTTGTTTCTTTTTTTTAAATCTCTGTTTATCTCAGTACTAAATAAAGTTGCCAGCCCTGGCTTCTTAGAAATAGAAATCTGCTATTAGAGCTCTTAGAAAGGTGAAAGTGTTAATCATTCAGTCATGTCCGACTCTTTGCAGCCCCATAGCCTGTAGCCCACCAGGCTCCTCTGTCCGTAGAATTCTCTAGACGAGAATACCTTAGTGGGTTAGCCATTCCCTTCTCCAAGAGATCTTCCCAACCCAAGGTTCGTACCCAGATATCCTGCACTGCAGGCAGATTCTTTACCATCTGAGCCACCAGGGAAGCCCAGCACTCTTAGGAGTGAAAGTCATTTTCCCATATACTGTCTTTGTCCCCTCTCCTTCCAGTCCTGACCTAGAAGGTCACCTTCAGGCAAGTGTGGGCAGTTTAACGTTCCAGGGCCGTTTCTTTTTGCAGTGTCTCAGACTATCATGGACACATTTATGGAAGGGGTAGACACCCAACCATACCATCTCCCAGCCTTGCCCATCCAACTGTTTCTAATAGCTCTGAGAGTTTCCAACAAGGACAGGATACAACCTCAGACTCTATCAAAGGGACTGTATTGACCCAGGAATCTCCTGGCCCAGGAAGAAGTCCAAAAAAAATAAGCATGATGTTGATTTAAAATTGTGGTAGGCAATGAGCTGCTGCTGTCCTAGTCATAATGCAGGCTATCACTGATTGATATATAGGTTTTTATTTAAACTACATATATATTAAATATGTATTTTAAATATGTAGTTATATAAATATTTACATATGTATATATGTGTATTTAGCAAGCTAGTTTTATAAAACTCACAACATAATTTCTCCTAGAGACAATGTTCCAAATAGTGTTAAGTTTCCAGCCTGCATACTATAGAATTGCTTTTGGAAAAACTCTTCTCCCGTTCTACTTGAAGCTGACATAAGAGGGACATTTCTCTCTTCTTCTCACTGTAGTTTCAGAGACAGAAATGATTTCAGTTTACATCAAAAACAGTCTCATAAACAGTTCCTTTTCCTGTAAAGTTGTGTGCCATGATAGGACGGTGCTGCAGTGGTCATGGCAGGGCGCAGTCCAGGTCTGCCTTCCCAGTTGAGAGGAGGGGAGTCTTGTGACACTGCAGCTGAAGAATTAAGCTTCCTGGCTTTGTCAGCATCAAGAAGGGAACCCCCTGACTTGGGGTCAGGAAGAGGGCACCCTTCCCATCTCCTGCTGCCATGGTAACCATCAGGGTGTCAGGAGCAATTTTCAGACCAGAGCCTGCATGGACAACCAACCACCAGCACAGATAAAGTGTTAGAAAGTCCATTGTTAATGAGCTTTTCTCCCAGGCTTTTCCCTTTTTCCATAGTGTACAAGCAGGTCACCAGTTTCCATGTTGACATCTCCCCCCATCTTCTCTGTAGGTGAAAAGCATGGCCCAGTATGTACATAACATGGACAAGCGGGACAATTTTCGGAGGACTCGTTTTTCTGACCGTTTCAAAGATGACATAACTACTATTGTTAATGTGGTCACCTCGGAGATTGCAGCCCTTTTAGTAAAACCTCAGAAGGTAACTGTGTCATTTTACTCTTTACGGTCTGAAATTTTTTACCCTGGTCATATATTATTTTCATAATCAAAGAAAAATAAGCATCATCTTAAGACAGTAATTAAAATGTAACTAACTGTGCATGACAACTAAATTCACTTTGTTACACTGGACAGCACCCTGTGGTGGGGCTGGGGCATTGCTATCAAAAATTACAATGTGGGGAATTCCCTGGTGGTCCAGTGGTTAGGACTCTGGGCTTTCACTGTCAAGGGCCCGGGTTCAATCCCTGGTTGTGGAACTGAGATCCCGCAAGCCGAATGGAGCTTGTACAAAATGAAATTATAATGTGGAATTAAAGCTGTTTAAATTATTGTATCAACACACTATGAGAGGAAATATTTTTGTTCTTAGCAAATATGCCCTGAAGTTTTATGATATTTATAATCCTGCTCTCAGATGGTTCAGAAAAAAAAATTGAACATGAAGAGAGAATGATAAATATAGTGAAATATCCAGCACTGATGAGTCTAATTAGAGGAGTTATTTTGACTATTCTTGCTCCTTTTCTGTAAATTTGAAATTATTTCAAAGTAGAAAGTAAAAAAAAAAGTAAAATGAAATAAAACAAAATTCTAAAATTTGAAGCAGAATTAAAAATTCTATAAAATTTGAAGCAGCAGTGATCATTATTAATACCTTTATCATTATGAAGAATTTGTATGCTGCTCTGTACTTAGAAGAAGCTTCCAGGTGGTCATTTCTTACGGCAGACTTTGTGAGAGTGGCAGTGGTGTCTCATTTTGGCAGGCATGAAAAACGAGGCACAGTGAGGTTGGTAAATTTTCCAAAAGTCAACACAGCTAGCAGCAAAGTCAAGACAGAAGATTCCAAGCCCAGCATATTCAGACAGATACTTAAGTAGTGGTCCATGTGGAGGATGCTAAGAGCATGAGGACTTGCCACTCCATGGTTACTATGGAAACTTCTTTTCCAAGTCTCCACCCATGCCAGTGGCTGGTCAGCTTGGCCTGAATTTGCAAACCGCTCATCATAACAAGAGGAAAACATTTCAAATCATATTTTCAATAGTTCAGAGCAAATTGATTTATCATTCTGAGAATAAAGGACATAAACATGAAAAAGTGAATCCCTGATTGCTCTGAAGTGCTGTAAAATCCCTCATAAATATGAGCACTGAGAGGTAGTAAAAACTAAACCCTGGCCTCAGTTCATGCAAGAGGTTGCTCTACTGTGTATGACTCTGCCCTCTCTTAGGCTGGGAATGCTGTCTAATTGGAGAAAAAAATTCCTTAAGTAAAAACTGATTTTTTTTAATCCTGATTACATTTTCTGCAACAATCCTTTCAAATTAAGAATCTGTCTCATTGAAGATAGTGAATACATTTCAAATTACTTTTGCTAAAACAGTCATTAGCAGAATCAAACAAATTATAGGGAAGCAATATAAAGAAATTTAAGAAATATGAGAAACCAGAGTGTTGGAAAGTGTTCATAATATAATGTTGAATGAATAAATTCAGGACCTTATTATATATAGAGAATAAACTCAATTATATACAGATAAACATGCACATAGGAAAAAACACCTAGAAGCAAATATACCTAAATATTAACAGTAGATAAGGAATTACTTCATTCAACACACATGGCATCAATTAGTTTCTAAATTATGTCTGCTATAGTTTTGCAGAGTTATCTGCTTTGCTCAGTATCTTCCGGAGGGACACTGGCTGAAAAGATAGGACCTGCCTCTCCCAACTCCCCCCACCCAGGGCTGCAAGGTTTACTAGCAAATGATGGGGGTGTTTGTATCAATGTGCTTGTCTTTTAAGGAAACTGAACAGGCGGAAAAGATCAACATCAGCCTGGCTTTCTTCTTATATGACCTCCTCTCCCTCATGGATCGTGGCTTTGTGTTTAACCTCATCAAACATTATTGCAGCCAGGTGAGTGTTCCCTCAGCCCAGCCCTGTTCTTCCTGGCTCCTTCCCGTCTGACGTGATGCTCGTTGCCATGGCGTGCTCCCTTGTTCATTGCCAAGCTAGACCGTTGGACTCCTGTACATTCTGGGTTTTGTGGTACAGTCTTCAGGTCATTTGTTTTGTGCCTTGAACCTTGGTAGACACACTAGTTTGTGTGGATTCCTGGAGCATTTACCGACCCAGCACAGAAGGGCCAACAAGGTCATCCATGGGCATTGAGGCTTATTAGTGATACGAACTGCTTTCTTTAGTTTAGCATTTAACAGAATTCCATGGCTGTGGGATTCAGTCTTTGACCAGGTATATAATGGAAAGTATGAGGTCTCTTTTCACACATTAGGGTAATTAATTAAATTGCAGTTGTGAAATTCTAACATTAAAGAAGTCTAGTAAAATCAGTCAAAGAGACTGAATTTCACCGAGCACAAAGCAAGTATTGTCATCTGGTATATCTGAAGGGTATTAGTTTTAAGACCATTCGCAGTACCCCCAAGGATATCAACATTTGTGGATGCTCAAATCCCTTCAATAAAATAGTGTAGAATTTGTATATAATCCTCCCATATACTTTAAGTCATCTATGGATTGCTTATAACATCAAATATAATGTAAATGCTGTGTAACTAGTTGCCTGTACAAAATCAAGTTTTGCTTTTCTGAATGTTCTGGAATTTTTTTTTCCAAATAGTTTCAGTCCTCAGTTGGTTGTCTCACAGATGCAGAAACTGTGGATACAGAGGGTTGACTGTATTTTGTAATTAAAGAGCGTATCAGTGCTATCTCCCCAGATTTTTCAAATGGAATCCTACTTTTGTTCACTATTCTCCTCAAACTATCCCAATCATAGAAATATAGGTAGCAGTTACTGTTGCTACTCCTTTTCTTTCATATTCCTGTTTTTTAGGACCACCATCACTATCATTGCCACCAGCATCACCACCCACCACCTTCACCATCACTGTCACGACCTTTAGTTTCTTCCTATGGACAAAGCTCTGTGTTCACATTATAGAAATCATCTCTCTTGATTCTTGCAAGGTGTTGTCAACATTTTGCATATGATAAACCTGAAGTTTAGAGGAGTTAATGTGTAACTTTTCCAGGGAAGAAAGAGCCATGGCTACTTTACTCAAGGCACAGTGAGTTAATCACTCTGTTCCACCAGAACTAATAACTCTCTGTCGTTAATCCCCTGGTGACAATAAATAAGTCATTCGACTTCTTTGAGTCTCATTTCCTCATTTGCAAAATAAAAGGATCTCCCCTCCCCTGCTAAAGAGACCATGACTGTTCTAAAGAGACTCTTAATAAGGAAGATGACTTACAAAGAATCCTAAGGAAATATCAGGAGTACCAGAGCACGAACATCGTGTACAGCCTGACCTCCTGCCCCTGCTTGGATCTTCTGTCCCTGTCCCACCAGAATGGAGTGGTGGAGGAAGATGCCATTTCCCTTTGCCATTACTCTTAGGTATTCAGGATGGCAGGTCATTGGGTGAATTGCAAATATGAGTTAATCTGTTTTTCAAAACTTGATGTTGAATATATGGAAAGAAAGGACTGGAACACCACTATAAGCCCAGGGTTTGCCTCTGGTATAAAAAAAAATTTATCCATGACACTTGTTAAACTGTAAAGCAGACTCTATTCAGGACCATTGTGACAGGTATAAGGACCACTGCTTTGGATTTTTCAGTAGGGGAGAGAGATTGAGTTTGGATACAGAAGGAAAAATGCCAATTTATAGCCAAGGAACAGGGTAAGAGTAGTAAATGGATGAAACACTACTAAGAGGAAAATCAAGGGTAAATAGGGAGAATTCTGGTCAAACTTAACCTAACAGAATTCTTACTGAAGGCAAACTAGGGTGATCAGAACCACCTGGGGAAGATGAGGGGTGAGGAATTTGGTCAGATCTCAAGGGTGAGAAATTACAGCTGAACTGACTTAGAAAGGTGGTTGTGAGAATTGGGCAACCGGGGCTACAACTTTGGGCCCTGACCTTTGCAAAGGATGTTTGCACACAGGAGGGACTTTGCCTGTGTGCATGCTAAGTCACCTCAGTCATGTCTGACTCTTTGTGGCCACATGGCCACAGAGGACCGTAGCCCTCTAGGCTTCTCTGTCCATCGGATTCTTCAGGCAAGAATGCTGGAGTGGGTTGTCATGCCTTCCTCCAAGGGATCTTCCTCACCCAGGGATCAAAAGTGTCTTACATCTCCTGCATTGACAGGTGGGATCTTTACTATTAGTGCCATCTGGGAAACCCAAACTGCACTTTACTCTTTCTTAAACATTGCTAAAATTATTTTTGAAATTTTTGTCTTCATTGACGTTTCAAGGGACTTATGAAAGATGCCCACAGTGTGGCCTTCTTTCAAATGCAGATATCTTGTGCTTTCAAGTTCTGATAGCAGGCTTGACCCAACAACTTTGTAAGTGGCCATTGAGTGAATGGCATAAGACTGAGTTTTAATGAGTTTAATTTGCTGGTGTCCCTGTTCAAAATCAGCCAGTAATACACATTGACAGGAGTATGGGTTCTGGTAAAGGTTCATACACAGAAGTCATATATTCTATTTTTTCTATAGTACATAATGGCATTCATTTTTTTTCCAATAAATGTCTACTAACTACAGATTCTATAGGTAAAATGCCGTAACACAATGGCTTTTCACTAAAATGGCTGAAAATATGTACTCATTTAAATTGTATAGTTTATAAAACTGCTCTTAAAGTTCATGAAGAGGAAGCATGGCCATTTGTAAGGGTGAGATGCTTGGCTTCCTGTGCTGGGCCAGCAGAGTCCTTGTGCTGACATACTGAGGTTGAAGCTCCATCCCCGGTGGTTCAGACGGTAAAGAATCCTCCTGCAATGTAGGAGACCTGGGTTTGATCCCTGGCTCGGGAAGATCCCCTGAAGAAGGAAATGGCAACCCGCTCCAGTACTCTTGCCTGGAGAATCCCCATGGACAGAGGCGCCTGGCGGGTTACAGTCTACGGAAACGCAGAGTCAGACACAGCTCAGCACACACGGCACAGAATGTCCATCAAGCCCTTCTTTCCTTACTTCGTCACGGCCCATAGAGTCTCAGTCCTTCAGTTGTCAGCCTCCCTGAGGGAAGCAAGGGATCTCTTCCAGACTGTCATGTTTGCCAGCTTTTCATTGCTCTTTTCAGTATTGGTTTGTTTGAAAAGATTTTTCCTGAAAATTCTCCCAGCTTTTTCTTTCTCCTCCACTTCCTCCTCTCCCACTTTGGGGGCAAACTCCTAGGCTTTTATGCAGGGACTACATACTTTCATAAGTAATTTGATGCTTTCATCTAGGGACTGGTTTGAAAGCTTACCAGTGGGGCCTTTAATTAGAACCCACAAAGAACACTTGTGGCGTTCAAGTCATCCAGTCCTATTTCATTAGTTTTGTGTGGCCCCATGTGGGGTCAACTCCTTTCCTTTAGTTTCTCAGACACGGTAGGATTTTTGTAAAATTATATTGTGTTACAGTGAAGACGTACCTCCAGATTATTTTTAGCATGAGCTTGCCATGCATCATATCAGAGATTTGATGAGGGTAGGGTTGAGGCAAGCATTCTTATTATGGACAGCTGTTAGACTAGAATCCTAAAAGGAACAGTAAAGTGGCTCAGTGGTAAAGAATCCGCCTGCAATGCAGGAGACACAAGTTCAGTCCCTGGGTCAGGAAGATCCCTTGAAGTAGGAAGTGGCAATCCACTCCAGTATTCTTGCTTGGGAAATTCCATGATCAGAGGAGCCTGGAGGGCTATAGTCTATGGGGCTGCTAAAGAGTCAGACATGATTTAGTGACTAAACAACGACAATGGATGAAAACTTACTGGACCTTCCTATAATGCAGAGTTTGCCATCTATTGCCCTGTCCCACTCATTTTTATTCCATTGATTACTGTAATCTGGGGAAAAAGGATAATTTTGTGTCTGTCAACCTCAACTCCACTCACCATGGAATAAAACCTCTTTTCTCTCCCCATTTTCTTACCAGCTGTCAGCCAAGCTCAACAACCTTCCAACGCTCATTTCCATGAGGCTGGAGTTCCTGAGAATTCTCTGCAGCCATGAGCATTACCTCAATCTGAACCTCTTCTTCATGAATGCGGATACCGCTCCAGCATCTCCCTGTCCCTCCATATCTTCCCAGGTAAGCAGCTAACTGGAAAGTGTTTAAGCTGGTTCATTGAATTAGCTTGGCTTAGTCATTTATTCCTATGCAGATTGGTCTTCTTAATTAGAAGAAAAATTGAGTTATTCAAACTAGGTCAGTTGATCCAGATAGACCTATGTATGCTACCCCAAGTTATTTCATCTAGCTAATCATTTACAGGCTATGTGATCATTTTCTGTCTAGGCTCAAGGGTCCCTGCTGAGGCCAGCTAGAGCACAAAATCTATATGCACTATGAAAAATGTCTAATTCATAGAAAATTCACAGATCTTCTTTTGCTGATAGTCTTTACTTGAGCTTGACAGTCTCCTTTGCTCACTTCCCTTTTCCTAAACCTTAGCAACATACAATTGATGAAATTAAAGTTAGTTTCCTTCATATTGATTCCCAAATGATCTAGTAGTAATTTTTAACATGGATACTTTATTATATCTTTGAATGATCCCAGAACTTTCTGCTAATTCTGATATAGAATGAAATTAAGTACAAAATGATTCCACCTTGAATCATATTCTCGAAAATTTAGCTCTTGAAACACTAAAAGTATCTCCTTGTAAAATAATCAAGTGGTCTGTTTTATAGAGTATATTTCTAAAAATTCTTTTTTTTAATCATCACAGAAGAGTAACACTTGTATTAATATATAGAGATGAGTCGTTTTTTGTAGAACAGTATTATGCAGGTTAGGTTTGGTGGGCCCCAAATTTCACAGGATGTTAAGAGGTATTATGCAAATACAGATTTCTGAAGACAACTCCATTTTAGAAAACCTGTGTTGAAAGGTTTCTTTGCAATAGGCCATTCAAGAGTCTCTAACTTGGTTATGTAAATTACAATGCCCCGGGGTGGCAGAGGACATAGGAGGAGGTGAATGATAAGCAGTGCTTCCCAAAATGCTGGACTCTGGAAATCTTCTTTTTTCCTCCATCGATCTGGGGGAGTGGTGTCCTCTAGAAAAACTTTATGAAGTACTGCTGTTTAATAGTCACATTCCATATATAGGGAACAAATCAGGAGCTCAGAATAGCAGGCAAGATTTCTTCTTTCTAGGTTTTCTTTCAGATGCATTTTCTTTGATACTAGCACAAAGGAAGAGGCTTTTCTTAATAATTGTTTTAAAAATGTTAGCTATTCATGCCAGATGACATTTAGATCCAGATGTGCACCGTATGTTGTGAACTGGGGAAGAGCTTGTAAAGCAGCTGTTCCACACCTGCCAGTTCCACCCCTAGTCCTCCCCCGTATCCTGCTTCTGACCTCCTGCCAGCGTCACCAAACTGGAAAGGCTGTCTGGAGACAGTTGGAGCCTCTTAGTGACATAGGAAGTTCGCCCTAAGATAAGAACACAGGTATTGGCCTGCCTGATGCTGCTCCTGGTTTCCAGGCCAGCAAAATTCAGGCAATGTAGGTAAGTCATATTCCAGAAGTGTAAACAGGAACATTAAATAAAGGTGGCAGTCTGTTATAGAGGAATCACCAGCTCAAAGCCATAACAGGGGGTAGAATCCCCATTTCCCCATGAAGATGAGATCCGAGGATTTTAGTCTTCTTCGCCAGTTGAGCAGAGTAGACGCTCTTAAGTATCAGTTTCTTCATCTGACATGTGGGGACGTGAGCAGCAACTCACGTGCAAGCACGTGCTTCACCGTGCTGGCAGAGCCTGGCTGGTAGCATGTGCTTGATGCATCCGAGCCATCGTGGTGTTAATTCCAGTTCTTGTTACTCAGAAAACTGCCCCTTACATTTCTATAGAACTCCAGCTCCTGTTCCAGTTTCCAGGACCAGAAGATTACTAGCATGTTCGACCTGACTCCGGAGTACCGCCAGCAGCACTTCCTCACCGGGCTTCTCTTCACCGAGCTGGCCACCGCCCTGGATGCTGAAGGGGAAGGGTATGTCTCAAACATTTATAATGGAACAAAAGCAAAAAAAAAAAAAAGGATGCTCCTTACTAAATTTTTACACTCCGACCTCTCTTCCTTGGTGAAAAACTCCACCATTCACCAGTTTCAAGGAATAGAAGCAGCCACGTTTTGAGAAAGTGATTCCAATAGGAACATGGAAAGGCATGAGGGATGGAGAATAACCATAAAATAGCTCTTTTCAACCGCTTATTCATTAAGAGGAAGTTACCAATTCTACCAGGGCCTCTAGTGGCTCAGACTGTAAAGAATCTTCCTGCAGTGCGGGAGGCCCAGTTTGATCCCTGGGTTGGTAAGATCCCCTGGAGGAGGAAATGGCAACCCACTCCAGTATTCTTGCCTGGAGAATCCCATGGACAGAGGAGCCTGGCGGGCTACAGTCCATGGGGTCCCAAAGAATCAGACATGACTGAGTAGCACAACTAAGCGGCTAACACTTTCACTTTACCAATTCTACTAGGTTTCCCCGGGATGCTTGGTTAGTGAGCTGCTTAGAAACAAAGCTGTTTTTAAGGTGTACCTTGGGTGAGCTGTATGCACAGAGGCAGCAGTCAGATGCCCCTTGGGTCACTGCTGACAGAGGCTCAAATCCAAGGAGTGTTAGGATTGAAAAATAATTTAGATTCAGCCCTCTTAGTGTTCAGATTAGGCCCATGGAATTGAAGGAACTTTCAATAGCAGACTCAAGTCTGGAAACCATGGTCTCCATGGTCTCCATGCCTGAAAACCTACTCCTACAATGCCTACCTTCTTCCTCCCTCTGTTCAAGAAGATTCTGAAATAAATGTGCTGATTAATGGCAGCATTGTTGTATGTTATAGATTATTGTCTAATTCGAGATTCTGAAGTTTTCTCAAAGTATTTATAATTTTGTGACAAAAATAGGATGTCTCTGTATGAAACAATTACAAGAGCACTAGTTTGTGTAACTTCAATAACAAATGTGTCCCAAATGCTTTGTCCATACTGATAATGCCTAAGGGATGGTAGGTCTCTGTCTCCCAGCAGGTCATTGTGGGAAGTCTGATGCTCTCAGCTCTGAATTCTGCCTCCTTCCAGAAATTCAGGCACCAGGTATATCCTTAGCTTCGTTTTCCAAGGCTTCAGTTTCATCAAACTCCTTCCAATTTTCTCAGTAGAATTTTCTACCCTATAGCTAACATGAATTTCCACAGCAACACAAAGTGCCTTGACACATATGCTGAGAATGTGCTGAGAAGGAGGCTTGTGCAGAAAGAAAATTGCCTTCACACACACACACACGCACGCATACTTTATCTTAATTATCCTTTGATAGCAGAGATTTCCATGATTTCTGAAAGCATAATACTCTTCAGTATCTACATGAGTGGTAGTCTCTATTTTCCATTTCTCTTCTAGTGAAATGTCTAAGGAACCAGGCTTTGCATCTGTTTTGATTCCTCATAAGATTGTTGCTGTTATTTTACTAGCAAGAGAGTAGAGTATGTTCAGAGATCATCATGTAATTATGTTTAATCAGGTATGTCCATTTTTTCAAACACACACACACACACACACGGTACCTCTTTTACCCCCCAAAGGGTAACTAATTAAGAGTGTCACTCCTTTGGTAAAACAATAATTCCTGATTGTTGGGTTGTCAGTTACTCTCCTGGAGAGTCATTAAAAATACCATCATGGACTTTATATATGAGCAGAAGTCTCAGAAACAGTTTATTTTCTGATAATACATCCTTTTGATCAGTTCTTCCTTTGGCTGCCAAAGCAATTAATAGTCTCACCAACACCCACCCATCTGAGGCACAGGGCCAGTGGTACACATCTCAACAGCTGAACTCCTGAAAGGAGTCATAGCTCTAGATTCTAAGGGATCGCTGTGGAACCCTTCTTACCTGAGGGTGTCCACAACATCCATACATCAGTAAATCCATAGTGGTTTTCAAGCATGTGTAAATTATCTAGAATTTTTGTGCTGTGCTACCAAATGTTTAAAGAAGAATTAATTCCAATCCTTCATATTTTTAAGGATACACCCAACTCATTCTATGAAGCCAGCATTACCTTGATGGCAAAGCAGATAAAGATATCACAAGAAAAGTGCAGACCAATATGAATATAGATGTAAATATCCTCAATAAAATATTGGCAGACTGAACTAAACAACATATATTAAAAGGTTATACACCAAGGCTAAGTAGGATTTATTCTAGGTATGCAAGATTGGTTTAGCATCTGAAAGTCAGTTGATATAATAAAAGACAAAAACCCCACTCAGTCATCTCAATAGAAGAATAAAAAGCATCTGACAAAATCTAGTACCTCTGGAAAACACTCCACAAACTCTGTAGGAATATGTGAGAATTTCCTCAACCTGATAAAAGCATCTATGAAAAACCCACAGCTAATATCATACTTACTGGTAAAAGATTGAATACTTGCCTTACAAGGTGAGGAGCAAAACAAAAATGTCCACTCTTTCTTCTTCTATTCAACATTTTACTGGAAGTTCTACCCATGGAAGTTAAACAAGAAAATGAAATAAGAGGCATCCATATTGGAAAGGAAGAAGTAAAGCTGTCTCTGTTCACAGGTGGCATGATTTGTTTATAGAAAATCCTAAAGTTCCCACTAAAAAAAGCTATTAAAGATAATAAATGAGTTTAGCAAGGTTGCAGGATACAAGATCAATATACAAAAATTAATTGTATTTCTATACTCCTTCCATGAACAATATAAAAAATTTAAAAATATTCCACTTAAAGTAGCATCAAAAGAATAAAATTCTTAGGAATAAGTTTAACAGAAGAAGTTTAAGACTTGTTCACTGAAAACTGCAAAACACTTTAGAAAGAAATAGATCTAAATAAATGGAGAGACATGACATATTCATGGATCATAAAATTTAACATTGTTAAGATGGCAGTACTCTCCAAATTGATGTACAAATTCAGTACAATTCCTTTCAACATTCCAGCTGGTCCTTACAGAAATTGACAAGCTGATACTAAAATGCATTTGAAAATTCAAGGGACTCCAATATAACCAGAACAATCTTGAAAAAAAAGAACAAAATTGGAGAACTCACACCTCCCACTTCAAAACTTGATACAAAGCAAAATTAGTCAAGACTGTGTGGTTCTGATCTGAAGATAGATGTATAAATTAATGAAATTAAATTGAGTCTAGAAATGAATCCTTACATTTATAGTCAAATGATTTTTCAATGAGAGTGCAAAACAATCAGTGGTGGAAAAATAGTGTTTTCAAGAGACGGTGCTGGGAAAACTTGATATCCACATTCAAAAAAAGGAAATTGGACCCCTATCTCACAACATAGACAAAAGTTAAAGTGTTTCAAAGACCTAAATGTAAGTGTTAAAACCATAAAACTCTTAGATGAAATCATAAGGGTAATCTTCAAGAAATTTGATTAGGCAGTGGTTTCTTAGATCTAACATCAAAAATAAACCCAGCAAAAGAGAAAAAGAGGTAAGTTAGACTCCATTAAAATTAAAACTTCTGTCCTTTAGAGGACATCATTAAGAAAATAAAAAGACAGCAAGCAGAATAGGAGAAAATATTTGCAAATCATTGATCTAATGAGGGATTTGTATCTAAAATGTATTTTTCATGTCTTATAGCTCAATAATAAAAGAGCAAATAACTCAATTTTTTAAAGAGCAAAGGATCAGAACAGACATTTTTCCAATGAAAATATGACCAATAAGCCCATGAAAAGGTTTTCAACATAATTATCCATCAGGGAAATGTATATCAAAATCAGTTAAATACTCCTCTGTCTTTGTTCCTTTGGGCTGCTCTAATGAAAATATCTTAGATTAGGTGGCTTATAAACCACAGAAATTTATTTTTCACAGTCCTGGAGCCTGAGAAGTTGAAAGTCAAGGAGCTGACAGATTTAGTGTCTGGTAAGGACTCACTCCCTAGTTCACAGATGGGCATCTTCTTGCTGTCTTCCCCTGTGGCAGAAAGGGGCAAGTGAGTAAAGGCACTAATCCCATTCATGAGGGCTCTGATGTCATGACCTAAAGCACCCCCCAAAAGCCCCACCTCTAAACACTATCACATAAAGGATTAGGTTTCAATATATGAATTTGAGGGGAGCAGATCACAGTCAATTCATAGCACCTGGCTATAATACAGAAGACAGATAATAACAAATGTTGGCAAAGAGAAGACAGAACTGCCGGTGGGAATGTAAAATGATGTAGTTCCTCTAAAGATTAAATATAGAGTTGCCATATGATCCAATAGTTCTACCCTGTGGTAGATGTCTAAGAGAAATAAAAACCTATACCTACATAAAAACTTATACAAGTATTCACAGCAGTGTTCATAATTCATCATAGCCAAAAAGTAGAGACAACCCAAATGTCCATCAGTTGATGAATGCATAAGTAAAATGTAGCTCAGCTGGTAAAGAATCCACCTGCAATGCAGGAGACCCCGGTTCGATTCCTGGGTTGGGAAGATCCACTGGAGAAGGGATAGGCTACCTACTCCAATATTCATGGGCTCCCCTGGTGACTCAGATGACAAAGAATATGGCTGCAATGCAGGATACCTGGGTTTGATCCCTGAGTTGGGAAGATCACCTGGAGTCAGGAATGGCTACCCACTCCAGTATTCTGGTCTGGAGAATTCCAGTGGACTGTATAGTCCATGGGGTCACAAAGAGTTGGACTTGATTGAGTGACTTTCACTTTCACCAAATAAAATGTGATAGGTCTATGTGGTGGAATATTGTTTAGTGATAAAAAGGGGTGAAGTACTGCTTCTACAACATGATGAACTTTAAACATTGTGCTAACAGCAGAGCCAGAACTAGACCACAAGCAGCTTTGTCTCTGGATTCTGTACACCTCTACCCTACTTTGCTTGGTTTCATATCATCACCTCATTGTTTAGGAGCATTCTGGTCAACCTTGCTTCACTATAGCCTTGGCTTTTTGTGTTGTGCGAACAGGATCAGCAAGGTACAAAGGAAAGCTGTCAGTGCCATCCACAGCCTGCTGAGTTCTCATGACCTGGACCCACGTTGTGTGAAGCCAGAGGTGAAGGTCAAAGTCGCTGCCCTCTACCTGCCCTTGGTTGGTATCATTTTGGATGCTTTGCCACAGCTCTATGACTTTACAGGTAATGATGCCTTCTGTTTCCTTCTTTGGATTGATGGGGGTTCCTGCCAGATTCACCACTGAAATGAGGTTTCCATTGCTGGCTCCAGTGCTAATATGCTAGTGTGAGCCATTCCCACTATCACTGCTCTCCACACCTTTTTAAACATAGGCCCTGGTAAGTGTATCTTTTTAAGCCATATATATAGGCTGCTGTCTATGGGGTTGCAGTCGAACATGACTGAAGCGAGTTAGCAGCAGCATATATTTTTTTAATTGTTGCTCACTTATTCATTCATTGGTCTGTTGGTAAATGAACACTAAAGACTGTACACCACAAAGGATGATAAAATAACAGAATTACTCCTTTTGGTGATCTGTGGTCTGATGTCTTGAAATAAAGTGTTCCTTCTGTTTTATTTTATGAGCACTTAAGGAAAGAAGCAGACTCAAGTGAGTCTAAACATTTGTACCATGCATAAAAATATATGTATATATCATGTTGTCTGACACTATTAGGAAACGCTGCTATCGCAGAGGAATTTTGCCTTTGGCACTAAAAAGCCCATTAAGATTGGAATTCAGTATCTCCCACTTGGCCACCAGAGGAAAGCATCAGTTGTTAAAAGGCACCTCCTGAGTTTATTTGCATTTTACAGTGTGGATTAGGGAATGTAGACAAACAAAACTACACTCACTCAAAAAGAACATCTTATCTGAGACCTGAGAAAGACAATCCCATCTGCCTGTCGTCCCCCTAACACACACACACACACACACACACACACACACACACACAATGCTGACTTCAGGGTGCTTTTTGCTTTTCCCTCAGCGAAGGGAAGTTCTTAGAAATTACTGTGCTATTCTTCTAACTGAAGAATGCTTAAGTGTAAAATCCTTGTAAGGAATCATGCTTGGAACCTTAGAACTATCATGTTTTCCTGCTTCCTCCGAAAGCAAAATGTCCTGTGTGGCAATTATTTCTAAACTCCTTGTGGTGACAGTCATTCAGCTCATAAAATGAGGGGGAAAATGGGCAAGGAAGTGACGGAAGCTGTCTTAGCCCACCAGATGAGCTGGCTGCCCGGTGAGATGCACAGAGCTTCCCGTAGCAGCGCCTGAGTAAAGGGCAAACAGAAGATAGCTGTCTTCAGAATTTAAAGGTTCAGTTCAGAGCACGGCTTTGCAGATCCCTTGTAGAATTTTGCATGGACATTTCAAGACAGTTTTATTTGAAGATCTGTTATTTGTTTGTTCCCAAAGCAGGGAATCACGTTAACACACATTATCCAAAGTTTCATTGTTGATTAAAATTTTCCACATCAGTCACTTTGGATCATAACGTTTTAGCACTTGTTTGTTTGCTTTTTTTGATTCGCACAGCATATGAAAGTTATGCTTACTCTATATTGTGGTCTATTAAGCGTACAGTAGCATTATATCTTTTTAAAGTACAAGCCTTATTTTTTTGTTTTTTTCCAACTTAGTTATTTAATTGAAGGAAAATTGCTTCACAATATTGTGCTGGCCTCTGCCATATAGCAACATGAATCAGCCATAGGTATACATATGTCCCCTCCCTTTTAACCTCCCTCCCACTTCCTGCCCCTTCCCACCCTTCTAGAGCACTTGGTCTTTTAAATCTCAATGATTTCTTTATGTATGCGCTGAACTTTATAGTCATGATGTAGCTAACAAGTGGAAAAACAATGTAAATATTCTATTATTAAAGATAATATAGTACATTTATTAGATATGAAATCTTTTGATTGATGAACTAAGAGTATAATATTAAAAAAAATACAACAGAATTCAAATTGCAGCCCATTTATTACTATATGTGACCTTTGGAAATTTCCTCAACCTTTTATGCCTTCCTTTCCTTTCCTCGGCTGTAAAAACGTGATAGCAATGTCTATATCTTAGGGTTGTGATAAAGAGGAAATGAGAGAACTTCTATGAAAGCATCTTGGCAGCAAATGTTTCTATCCTTCTCTCCTCTCTTCTTCTTGTAACCATGAGCCTATGCACATTTAGTAAAAATGAGAATGTATCCTCAAAGTAATCCTGATAATGTTATCAGGTCTTGAATAATTGCCACATGCTTTTCATTTCACTGTGTGCTTAAAAATTCTATTGACTTAAGAACAATAGTGAATTATTATTTTTTTTAAAGTTGAGTTCTGTTTTTACAAGTTTGGCAGGTGAAAATCTGTTCACATGGCTATTTTTCTGAAAAATTGAAGTCAAAAAACTATAATGTTGACAGGTCTATAAAATTATGAGTTTTTAATGTATCAGTCATACATGTTTTAACACATTTTCCTCAAAACTACTTAAACAAATACTTTCTATGTTTAATTGATCATGATCTTAAAAATAAACCTTTTAAATTGTGGCTCCCTATTTTGTTTGCACACGACTGAGCGACTGAACTGAACTGAACTGAAACCTATGTATAAATATAAATATATTACTTGAGTATAATAAATTAACATTTATTTCAGACATTAAAAATCTATTAAATTATTGCTGAATTTGTAATAATGGCTTATTACTCTATAAGGTACTTATTTAATTCTGTAATTTTATATTCCTAATTTGGCCATTATTTGAAATATATAAATGAAGTAAAAATACCATATTATAGAAAAGTATTATGAAAGCTTTGAAATTTTTTGTTTTCACAGTTTGAAAAGTTAATTTCTAGCCTAATCTTGTGCTGGACATTTTGTCTCTTTTATTAGACTGCCTGCTTTTCACTATAGATGGTAACAGATAAATAGTGCTAAATGTCAGGTTTAAAATTACTATCCTGAAATCCCTCTACTACTAAGCATATTCCCAGAGAAAACTGTAATTCAAAAAGATACATGCACCCTAATGTTCATAGCGGCACCATTTACAACAGCCAGGACATGGAAGCAACCTAGATGTCCATCAGTAGAGGAATGGATAAAGAGGATGTGGTACATATATAAATGGAATATTACTTCACCATAAAAAGGAATGAAATTGAGTCATTTGTAGAGATGTGGATGAGCCTAGAGACTGTCATACAGAGTGAATTAAGTCAGAAAGAGAAAAACAAATATTGTATGTTAACACATATATGTGGAATCTAGAAAAAATGGTATAATTGATCCTATTTGAAGGCAGAGATAGAGACACAGACATAGGGAACAGATGTATGGGTACCAAGTGAGAAAAGGAGGGGTGAACTTTCTACTGTCTCCATAGTTTTGCCTTTCCAGATGGACTTCTTTCACTTAGTAATATGCATTTAAGTTTCCTTCATGATTTTTCATGGCTTAATAGCTCATTTCTTTTTAACACTGAATAATGTTTTATTGTCTGAATGTGCCACATTTTTTATCCATTCACCTATTGAAGGACATCTTGGTTACTTCCAAGTTGTAGCAATTATGAATGAAGCTGCTGTAAGCATCTGTGTGCAGATTTTTGTGTGGACATCAGTTTTCAACTCCTTTGGGTAAATACCAGGAAGCATGATTCCTGGATCATGTAGTAAGATCAATACTATTTTAATTGCAGCTGCAGAAGCTCGAGGTGGAAAAAATCGTGCCAGTGGCTCAGATGAAGAACAAGAAGGGACCAGTGCAATTAATCAGAATGTGGCATTGGCTATAGCTGGAAATTTCAATTTGAAGACAAGTGGAACAATGTTGTCTTCCCTGGTATGTTGGTCCACATTTCACCTGTTTATTTTTCATTTTGTGTCTTTTCCCATCTATTAATGGATGAGTTCCTAAATTCACCTACCAGAACCCAGGATAGAGCAGGCAATGAGATTTCTGCCTTATTGTTCAATGCTGGAAGAAATCGTGTGAGGCTAGCAGTTGAGAAGGACAATGATACAGGTGAGGTAACGCAAAGTCAGACAGGATTCTCACAACAGCAAGAGACTCACAGAACAAATTCAGGCAATTTCAGTAGTGTTAAGCTCAAGGTTTGGACAACCAAGAAAGGTGAACTTGGAAAATCTGAGATATTGCAAAGGAGATCAAACCAAGGAGCCCTCAGGCAGGAGGCTTGCACTCTGTGGGACCTGCCTCTCTTCCTTGCTGAGCTCAGACAATCCCCTTTGCCAAGACAGAGCTACATTCTCCAGCTTAATTTAAGTTTGCATTTCAGTGTAGCATTCACATCTGCAGAGGATTCAACCCAGTTCTTTCCTGGGAAGACAACCTCTCAACCAAAATTCTGCTTGGCTGAATTCTCTTCCTTCTAACACTCCCTGATCCCCACCCCCCACCCTCGCCCAACACACATCCATAAGTTGAAGGATAGGAGGTGAAAAAAAGAAAAGACATGGAGAGTTGGCATTACTTATCCTGCAGCTTAACAAATATGATGTGCTCTATGACCTCCTCTACCTTTCTGATATCCGTCTTACCAAAATTGGGTGCTTCAGGTGGTATGTGCCTTTTACATTCTAGTTTGTCTCCAACAGAGAAACTCAGAAGTCCAAGGTTCACCTCCTAGAAGATATTTCCTATGAAGTTATAATACATTTAGAAATATTACTTCTTCTTGTGGTCATACTCAGAAAAACTAAAGTTAAAGCAACTTTGTAAGCTCTATCCTCCCCATTCAAACCTACCATTCCCCTCACATGTGAACTAACACCTCTCTGCAGCTTCACTCCTACATTCCGTTGGATATTAGCTACGCCACGTGAGTCACATGTTGTCCTTTGTGTTGTTTGGATGAGTGACAGAAAGTGTGCTCAGCACGCTAAAATGAACATTTGTGGCCAAAGCCTGAGAGCAAATAGCCTGAGCCCCCACACCCTGTCCCCAGGAAAACATAAATTGTGGTTGAAGTACTGTTCTAAAGGACTCCTCTGAATTATGTATTTGATTCATTTGCTGAGCAGTTCATGACCCTTATACTTTGGACTCTGACAAAGAAATCTTGAACAGTTAGGGTATTTTGGGAACCAAGCCAGAGTAGTTATCTGCTATAAGTCCAACCCTGCAGTCTCCAGTGTGAAGGAGATATACTTGATCTTAGCAGCTTGGAAGCCCTTGTGGCTTACTGAGATTGGGTGGGGGGAGGGCATGGCTAAGGTCCAGAGCAGACCACCAGACCACACTGCTCCTGAAACAGGCTGCTGCTGCTGCTGCTGCATCGCTTCAGTCGTGTCTGACTCTGTGCGACCCCATAGACGGCAGCCCACCAGGCTCCCCCGTCCCTGGGATTCTCCAGGCAAGAACACTGGAGTGGGTTGCCATTTCCTTCTCCAATGCATGAAAATGAAAAGTGAAAGTGAAAGTGCTCAGTCGTGTCGGACTCTTCCTCATGGACTGCAGCCCACCAGGCTCCTCTGTCCATGGGATTTTCCAGGCAAGAGTACTGGAGTGGGTTGCCATTGCCTTCTCCGGCTCCTGAAACAGAAGGGTGTCCACAATTACATGGCTGAAAGCCTGGTTAGAATACTGCCCCTTTCCCCAGCAGCACAGCTCAAAGAACACAGCTTCCACTGCCAGGAGAAGGCAGAGTTCCCCTAAACAGACCCCCCAGCCCAGAAAGAAGTACAGACACTGTGTCCTAAGAAATCAACATTCCTTTCATTATGTCTGCTGCTCAATCTCTTCCCTTGCATCCATCTCCCAATCTGCCTCCTTCCAGCCCTACAAGCAGTACAACATGCTGAATGCTGACACGACCCGAAACCTCATGATCTGCTTCCTGTGGATCATGAAAAATGCTGACCAGAGCCTCCTTAGGAAGTGGATTGCCGACCTGCCATCCATGCAGCTAAACAGGATTTTAGATCTCCTTTTCATCTGTGTCTCGTGTTTTGAATACAAGGTATCTCTCAAGTCTGTCTTGTCACCATTCCCCCTCTGTTTGGGCAATGGCAGCATCCTTAATTTTGTCTTAGTTCTGTATTAAAGTCTACAACCTATTTGCATATCCATAACCTATCTAGATATGATAATTCCACCGGGAAAGGATCTTTGTCTTCTTCAGAGAGAATGTCATTTCCGTTGACAGAATTTCAGCCAGAGGATCCCCCAGAACAGGGTGTCTGTGTAGCATATGTCCAAACTGGCTGATGTCACCATGGGGTGTTCTGTCTTTAGGATTCTCCCCATGAACAGAGAGCTCTCCAAACTTAATGTCCTCCTGCCTCTGTCCTGTCCAGGGAAAACAGAGTTCTGACAAAGTCAGTACCCAAGTTCTGCAGAAGTCGAGGGATGTCAAGGCCAGGCTGGAAGAGGCTTTGCTCCGTGGGGAAGGGGCCCGAGGGGAGATGATGCGGCGCTGCCGGACTCCAGGTGTGTTGGGTCAGCCCTTCCCTGCTCTCCATCAGCAGAGTTTGGTACCCTTCGTGGGAAGGAGTGTCCTCCCCACATGATGAGTAGACACCATCACTTTCTTAACACGTTGTGGTAATAGAGACAAGCAGATTCTGGGATTCGGCGCACGATGTATGTGACATTAGCCGCATTTCTCTAAGGGAAAGCTCCTTTCCTGAGGTCACAGGAGCCCTGAAAATGTGCTCAGATGGCATCTTCTGTTTAAAACTTATTGGTGGTAAAAGGTCCCATCCAAGAATATGAGTCATGGGATGATGAATGGTGTCTCCCTCACTTCTCCCTGGGATATTTGAAGAGTCTATATAGATAGTCCTACTGGATAGTTCTGGTTCCAAGATCATTTCTCCAAGTCATGCAGGGTTTACTAGAATGGATCCAGTCCCCTCCTGCAGTGGTCTTAGAGGGTCCCACCCCACAGTCTGACAGTGATCTCCAAAAGGCTGAGTTCTCTTTAGGGCATATCAGCCTTATCCATTGTGCTCAAGGAAAATAAAGTGATGGTTCCTGCTCTTCAGTGGGACACGGGGGCAGGGAACTTGGAAGGAGCTGAGCTTCTCAGGGGTGGTTGGGCACCCTTTTTCAACACCAGCACTCTTCATAAATAAATAATTTGGGGAGAAACCCTGTTTTCACTGGAACCCTGTGTCCATGGGAGATGTGCTTGCCGACACTCCAAAAAGGCTTCTGAGGTCTAGCCTGTCAATCAAAGAGCAGACTCACTCACCCCAGACTTGGTTGTGGGTTTGGCCTCCCACCAGCACCAGCATGGATTCTAATTATCTGGAGAAACAGCTCTGAGTCCCCTCCGTTGAGCTTGTTACAGAACTTCTGGTTATCTTACTACTACTGCTAATCAAATTCCTGTTGTGCGTTTCTTAACTCCTAGGGAATGACCGATTTCCAGGCCTAAATGAAAATTTGAGATGGAGGAAAGAGCAGACACATTGGCGGCAAGCTAATGAGAAGCTAGATAAGTAAGTCACTCAGCAACTTTGTGCCACTTTTACCTAAAGTTCAAAATGATTTTTCCCAGGCTACTTGTGTTACTGAAACAACTACATCCTTCCAAGGGTAAGGAAATGAAACATCATTATCTGTATACATTTAGTTCATCCAGGGTTCCAGGACAATCAATGGTATAAAGATGATTATAAAGAAATGATGGCATAAAGAAATTATGATTTACAGCTCTTAAACATTTATCCCATTAATAAGCATTTAAAGAAAACTAATGTTTAGCAATCTCAGCTAGCTTAACAAAGGCTGCTGATAAGACAGGACAGGGTACCCAGGAACACATCATTTCAATCCATATTTCCACTCCAGAAATGTGTACAAAGATGTATATTCAGGGATATTTATGTCAGCATTACATAAAATTGTAAAAAAAACATTGTTATTTAGTCACTAAGTCTTGATCAACTCTTTGCAACCACATGGACTGTAGCCTCCCAGGTTCCTCTGTCCATGGGATTTCCCAGGCACGAATACTGCAGTAGATTGCTGTTTCCTTCTCCAGGGGATCTTCCCGAGCCAGGGAACAAACCCGAGTCTCTTGTGTCTCCCAAGTCTCAATGTGCCTACATTGGCAAGCAGATTCTTCATTGCTGAGCCACCAGGGAAGCCCCACACAAAATTGAAACATTCTAAATGCTAAAAATAGGGAAATAGATAATGAAATATTAGGTTGGCATTTAAATGTTTCCAAATCATTTTAATGATATGGGAAATGCTTATCATTCAATGTTAAGTGAACACAGCAGAGTAGACATTTGTTTTTAGTATATAATTTTAAATCTCTACACATGGTAGATATATTTTTAAAAGACTGGAAGGAAATTTACCAAAACATGAACCATGATTTTCTTTGTGTTGAGAATGTTTGTGAAGGATATTTTCCTTTTTATGCTTTTCTATATTTCCTACAATGAATGTGTATTATGATATACTATTATCAGAAAGTAATGCTAAAGTAAAAGAAGAAAAACCTGCTTGGATTGCAATATATGCTATATCCGTATTGCAATATAAGCAACAATTTGAACCTACAAGGGCTAAAGCTAAATTGTTTTAATAGATAGCACATATTAATATCTGCTGTTCCTCTTAGCAAGAGGTAGCCTAAAGAATCCTGGGGTTCACTGGCAAAACATTATGTGGCTTAAGAGAGCCCCTCCCCACATGTATACACTTGACAAGGCATAGGCAGGGTATCCCCATGGTATATAAAACATCTGTTATAAGGAGGGGTGGGGGATGAGGTGGGCTTCAGTAGCAGTGTTTTTTTTAATAAATAAATATGTTGCTATCTTTGTTGTTATCACAAGAATGGATCATTCTGGTTCATTTATGGGACTTTTTGGAGTCAAGTTTATTTTAAAACATTAAGGAGATAAATATTTTTATTATACGTGTTAGTTGTATAACCCAGTTGTTGCTCTTAGGAATCATATCCATTTGCTTTGGGTATTTTGTGCTTGTTCTAAATTCCTTGAACTAATTTATAAACTATTGATTCTGAGAGTCTACAAGTTTTAATTTAGGCATTGAACCACGCGCCACCCCCACCGCCCCCACACACACAAATTAAAGAACTGTTGCATGTAGTTCGTTATCACAGAACTGCTTAGGCAGTTAGGCCATCTACTCCATGAGATTAAAAGAAGAGCCAAACAGAAAGCATGATTGCCTGGGCTGTGTAAGTGGATGTCTGGGGAAACCTTTCCCTTCTGTCACAGAAATAAGATGGTATGAGGCTTTCCATACAGGGCACACCAGACCCCTCCAGGTCAAGTCAGCCCTGAGCTACGTGTCGGGCTGCTTGTTACCAGAGGTAATGATTCACTTCTGATCATCTTCATGAGTGATTTTTTTAAAAGAGAAACCATAGTAAAATTGTAACCATGCAAGTTAGCTGTTTGGAAAACTTTTGTAATTGTAGCAGTGGTGTCTTCCACCTTCTTTTAGATCATTTTTCAATTATTTTGGCTCTGTTTCTTTTAGAGCAGTCATTCTCAACCCAGCTGTACACTAAAATCGCCTGGGGAGCTTTAATAGCTCCCTGTGCTCAGATGTACCCCAGGCCAGTTAATGCAGGATCTCCAGCAATGGGACCCAGAAAACAGTATGCGGTGAAAGCCCCATTTGATTCTTGTGAAGTCAGATTTGAGAACCATTGTTTTGAAGAAATAGCTGATAGGCTTTTTAAATCCAGATTAGTGGTGATGATGGGTGCACAATATGAGTATACTTGGGCCTACTTAACTGTACACTTAAAAATGGTTAGGGTGGTAAATTTTATGTTGTGTGTATTTTGCCACAATTAAAAAATTTGGGGAAAAAACCCCAGATTAGGTCATGCTAGATCTGCACTGTCTGGTACAGTAGCCATGGTAGTACAGTAAGTGAAAATATACATGTCAGATTTTGAACTTAGTACAGGTTAAAGAATGTAAAATATCTCATTAATAAATTTTATTGTGATTATACATCAGCAATATTTTTGATATATTGGGTTAAATAAAATATATTAACATTAAGTTCACCTGTGTGGCTACTACAAAATAGAAAATGACATGTTTCTGTTAAATAGCTTTGCTCTAAATCTCAACCTACCAGTAAATTAATAAAAAGAAGCTTTTCTGTTTCACTTATTTTACATAAATATTGTCACTTGGAGAATGAGGAAAACATATAGAGCAGCTTGGGACAACAGTGCCTATCCTAGGCATGAAAACATTTAAAACATAGAATGTGTTCATTCTGAGTCCTCGATGGTACATAAGCAACAGCAATGCCCCCATCAGTGGGTGAAGGGACGCAAGCGCGGCTAAGTGATGATCTTGGACCAAGACTTTTGAGCTCGTATGAGGATGCCCCAGCCCCTATGGCAACAGTTTAGCCACTGGGACATCTTGCGAAAGGCAATTCTTCACACTTCCCTTTCCTGGCCAGTAAATTTGAAGATACGAAATCTCTCTTTCCAGCTTCACTTGAAATTTATGAGAATGGATGAATTAATGCATAAGATGCTCTGATTCCTTAAAAAAAGAACCTAATAGAAAAGCAGCACTAGGTAATTTCCCATTCCCTAGGGGGTAACAGCCACTGACATCTAGCAGGAAGTTAGGTGGTGTGCCCGACAGGAATGCAGCCTTGCTTCCCATTGGAAAAGGACAGAAGGCCCATAGTTGACTGTGCAACCCCAAAGCAGTCTTTGGAAAGTCAAGACACTGACTCTTCCCTGACCACTTCTGAAACATCATCCTTTCCTAATCCAACAGCATCGTGATTAGCCAAATTCACGTCAAACCCAGTCTCACTTCCTCTAGCTTGTTGCAGAGGCTTCTTGGCTCAGGTTGGGAGATGATTCTCACGGGTGAAATGCAAGAATGACCCTCAAGCTTTAAGCAACAATCTGATTGGCTGGCCTAATTGCTAGTAATAACCAATAATTGCTTTTCTACCCATTTGTTATTTTTATAATTGTCATCATTATTCATAATAGTGGGGATGAGGATGGCCTGGAGGCTCTACCTAGAAAATCTTTTAACCAGGCTCCAATTACACAGGGTACCTATATTCCTTAGTTGCCAGTGACCAGCTGCTTTGTTTTCACTCCTAGACTGACTCTTCAGAAGATTTCTTTATACTTGGCATGTGGATTACCATCATCAGGAAATGACCAGATTTGATGTGCCCTTTAATTTGACCTCTTTTTGTTTCTTAGAACAAAGGCAGAGTTAGATCAAGAAGCCTTGATCAGTGGCAATCTGGCTACAGAAGCAAATTTAATCATCCTTGATATGCAGGAAAACATTATCCAGGTGAGGACAACAGGCACCTGATCTGTTCAACATGAATATGTCCACTGGAATTTAATAAGAATCCTTTATAGAAAATTGTGAAAAAATAAGTGTGATAGAAAGTGCGTTTTGTTTAATGACGTCAGGAAGTTTACTATTTACAGTGAAAGTGAGTCATTCAGCTGCGTCCGACTCTTTGTGACCCTCTGGACTGTGCAGTCCTTGGAATTCTCCAGGCCAGAATACTGGAGTGGATCGCCTTTTCTTTCTCCAGCGGATCTTCCTGACCCAGGGATCAAACCCAGGTCTCTCGCATTGTAGGTGGATTCATTACCAGCTGAGCCATAAGGAAAGCCAGATAGAGGAAGTGAAAGTGAAAGACTATTTACAGTAGTGAAAACTATTTACAATAGCATCCACCTTAGAAATTCCAGAAATACTTAAACACAACATCCTTCTGGGTTCATTGACTTGATGTTCACTTGGAAAGAGTTAGGTGCTTGACAGACTGACCCTCAAAGTTAAATCTACTTGAGCGTATGCGAAGATTATAATGTGAGTGGTGGGCTTATAATTCAATACCTGTAATAGTTGTGGTAGGTAGGTTTTCGGGGTTTTTTTGCTAGGTCAACCCCATTTGAATTACAGTTGATGTCTATATGGGAGCTAAGATTATGACTGGATGAAGTAAAAAGGATGCAAAGTGTGATTAATGATGTCTGTTTTGGACACAAGGAAAAATAATCTGTACCACGAATTTGCCAACCCTGCTGTAGAAAAGTACTATATCACTGTGAACTTTACAGTAATGCAGTTCACCATACTAATTTCATCTTCTAAGTGAATATTTCCAGAAATTCTCAAGACATCTAGGTGATAACATTTTTAGTTAACCTCAAAAATGAGTCCTTACATGTTTCCAATGAAAAATCATTTATTAGAATGGATCCAGTATTGTTTCTAGGGCAAAAAAAAGAAATATCATCAAAACACAGTTGAACCTTAGTAATCCAACTTTTGTCTCTTAAAATGTAATTACTGTATAAAAATAAAGACAAAAAGTAGATGGCATCTTTGATAAATACTTGGTATCAAATATTTGGCATCACATTGATTATATCTTTATACAATACTGCTTTGATTGCTGTCTTCTTAACATTTGTGCTCAAAATGTACTTGCAGTTTTCAAAGGCAGTTGGAAATTGTTATTGACATTGGTGGTATTAGTCCTGCTGCAGGTGATAAACAAGCTTCTATTTAGAAATGTCACTGCCACAAGCAGCCCCTGGGAGGCCCACAAGGAAAGCTGTACCTTGTATACAAGGAAAAAGACCTTTCCAAAAGCTTACCCAGGATGAGGGGGAGGTGTGCCTTATAGCTTGGGTTAGCAGCCCAGAATAAGGCATAAATCCCAAATCAGTTGGGAGTTTTGGAATAAAGTCTTGTGGAAATAGGGCTTCAGCTCTCCTGGTGATGGACTATATGCAGTGTACTTTCTCAAACCCTTAAGATCATAGACCAAAAAAAAAAAGATCATAGACCAAGAGATGAAATGTCAGCGTCACTGTGCTAATTGCCAAAAGGACCTACTCTTGTCTTCCCCTCTGAGTTCATGGGCATAGCATTGGGATTCACTGATGCTGTTCTTCTCTTCCCCCAGGCAAGCTCGGCTCTGGACTGCAAAGACAGCCTTCTGGGAGGAGTGCTGAGGGTCCTTGTGAATTCTCTGAGCTGTGATCAGAGCACCACATACCTAACTCACTGCTTTGCGACACTCCGTGCTCTCATTGCCAAGGTAAACTTGGGATGCTTGTTCTCTTACTGTTAATTAAGAGTTAATATTCTCATCAGGCTAGCTTCACATTTCTTGCTTCAGGTGCACCAAAACCCGCAGACCACCACTGTGTTAAGTGACACTGAGGTAAAAGTCTTAAGTCTTGTTAGGAAGGAAGCAGTTACACTGATTCTGTGAGACTCACCAGGGCCTCTCACGTTAGAAATGTGGGCCCACTCACTGAACACATGAGAGTGGAAATCAATTGAGCAGATTTGTTTTTCACCTTTTTTTCATTAATATCTTATCTGAATGAGATTCAGTTCCTCTGCATGACTCCCATTAGTGAGTCTTACAAAATGTCACATCATAAAATGCCAGAAAGTTTAGAAATAAATTTCTCATAGCCTGAAGAATATAGATTTTCCTAAAGGAAAATGACATATTGCAGATTTCTGTGCTCCCCCACCCGCCCCCTCCCTTTATTGAAAATCTTGGTTGTTTTGGACCTCTACTTGGTATCTTTTACATTTGGAAAGTGAACTCCTGGGGCTTCCCTGGTGGTCCAGTGGTTAAGACTGCATTTTCAGTACTTCAATCCCTGGTTGGGAAACTAAGATCCCACAAGCCATGAGGCACAGCCAAAATAAAGTGGACTCTCTCTTCTCTCACCTGTCGGGATCATTTGCTCTTAGTCACCAATAATTGCCAGGGAAACATGGGATAATTCCTTCAGAGCTGTGACTTCACCAGGGATCGCAGCCTGGCTAACCATGCAGATAATTATGTAGCCTTGATCTTAGTAAACAGTTCCTAATGAGATCAAGTCAACTCCATTGCTTCAGTTCATCTTCTGACTCAAGTAACTCACTATCTTTATGGAGCAGTGCATTAACTCTTCTGGGCTTTTTGCTTGTCCAAGCAGACATTCACATATCTCAACAGGCATCTGGTCCAGAAAGGGCGTGCACGTGCCAAGTGATGTCTAACGCGGCTGTGTCTCTCCTAGTTCGGCGACTTGTTGTTTGAGGAGGAAGTGGAGCAGTGTGCAGACTTGTGTCAGCGAGTGCTGCATCACTGCAGCAGCAGCATGGACGTCACCCGCAGCCAAGCCTGCGCCACGCTCTACCTCCTCATGAGGTTCAGCTTTGGAGCCACCAGCGTGAGTGCTCAAGGGGACCTAGGATCAAGAGTCAGTGCAACGCACTGGTGGCGGAAAAGTGTGCACTATTGCAGTTGACTTCTACCCTGTGTGAAGGGAACAGTTGGACATGTAGATGGATAGCAGCTTTCTTCTGATTTCCATCTAGAAATAAACTATTAAGACTGATGAATGCAGTGTTTTCCATCAGTGTGTTTCCATAAGAAATGAATGGCTATGTGTAGATTCAAGGTTGTCATCTGTGGGTGAAAAATACAACAGAATTTGGACTTTGGAAGAGCTTGTCTTGTTTCCACATTCTGATTGACTGGTACCAGAATGACCTGTGGAAGAGAATTTGAAATGATCACTATCATCTATGCCTAAGTGTTCATTGAAGCTTAGTAGCCTTTGGAATTCAGCCTTATTACGGTGCAGTCTTAGTTGGTCTAGATTTTGGTGTGCTCTTCTGGAGTTTACATTTGTGGTCATGTTAATGAGCATGTTCAACTGATATTCAATGATAATTTGGTCCATGGAAGAAAGGCAGGGTCCTCAGAATGTATTAGGTGTAGCTGTTGAAAAGCCTTTAGGACATTTGTCGGAGCCCCTTGGAATCACCATATTTTTCCATGGGCCTAGAAGGAAAGGAGAAACAGAAAGTCACTGCCTACCCAGAGAACAGAAATCTCAGAAATCTTGCCCATGTAGATTCTGCTCCTCTTTGAAGTTTAAATAAAGTTCCGAGAAGAGGAATCTTGGCACAAAAGGAGACATTCTGTGACCCAGCTGTGTAGGAACCTTTCAGCGTTACTGCACAGAGCTGGCCCAGTCCTCAATGAAAATTTAAAGGGAGCTGACAGATTTATGTCAGAGCAATACCCATTTAAACCATTTAAACAACAATATGAATCATGAGCAAAGTATGGCTCACATTTCATTGGGAAAAAAGGAAATGATTGAGCTTGGGTAAAGGAAGCACTAGAGAGTTGTTGTTGTCTGGCTCTACCTCCTCCAATTATCTACTAGCTGACTGCCTCTTGTTTGTTCCACCATTTTTTCCCTGACTCAGAACTTTGCAAGAGTAAAGATGCAAGTAACCATGTCTCTGGCATCTTTGGTGGGAAAAGCACAAGACTTTAATGAGGAGTACCTGAGAAGATCCTTGAGGACAATTCTGGCCTATGCAGAAGAGGACACAGCCATGCAGACCACTCCTTTTCCCATGCAGGTAGACCGAAGAGCATGCTTTGTCTTATACATGGGTCTGAGATCAGCCAGTTTTAAACCTCTATGTGTGTGTATACATACATACATATGTATATATGCACAAACATACATATATATGTGTGCATATATATGTATGTGTATAAAATATATAACATATATATTTTATATATTATATAACTTTTATGAAATATAATTATGTCATAATGTACAGATAATTATGTAAAATATTGTCATATGCATTACATGGAACCTAAGCTGAGGTCCTAAGCTGCCTCCTACTTGTTATAAAAAGCCCTGATGTCCAGAGTACAGTTGAGGGTTTATATGTTACAAAGAACTGAAACCAATTTAACCAAAAAAGTACTGGAGAGGGAAGATAGTATAAGGATTCAGGACTAATACATGGATGTCAAAGGCCAACTCATGTATAGGCCTTGGCAGTACCTGGACCTGCAAAGGTGAAGGTCAAAGAGGATCCAGTCTAGACTTCCCTCCACCTGTGATCTCCCCTGTCTTAGCAAGGCCTGCTCATGACTGCCCCTTGGACTCTCGGTGCAATCCTAACTTTTTGTTACCATGGACTACAATGCTAAGGTTGTTTGGGGTATACATTTTTTTTTTCTTCCAGGTGGAAGAACTTCTCTGCAATCTGAATAGCATCTTATATGACACAGTGAAAATGAGGGAATTTCAGGAAGATCCTGAGATGCTTATGGATCTCATGTACAGGTGAACTTTTCTGATGAAATCAAAAGTGTGTTACTTAAAGATCTAGGGTTTGCCACCATGGAGTTTTCATGAATATAATTATCACAGGAAATGTGGGTACACTGATTTGGCTGACAGCCAGAACTGTACTTAGAAATTGGTAGAAAATCATCATTTGGAGGGTGTTGATTCATGTACACGTTTTCAGAGAGAGTTCCCTGATTTAAAGGGAGGTATATATTTTTAACATTATTTTCTACTTACCATAGAATGAGAGAAAAGAACTATCAACTCTTATATGAATTATATCTGAAATTTTTTCCACTTACATTCAGACATGCATGTAAGTTTCATTTAGAAATCATATTTTACTCTGTAGTTCAAATTTTTGCTTTATAATCCTTGTTTTAGGAGAAACTACTTACAAAGACAAAATTGTTCTGACACGATGCCATAAGAAGGGTAGTACTTTTCATCTTCTGTTATTATTTTGAGATAAAGGAGAGTAAAGGAAGAAAAATTACTAGTGCTGCATTCAAATAGACATCATTTTATCAGGTCTTTTCTTCCCCCATAAATCTTTAACTAAATGATAACTTTCTTAGGGTCCTATACACCCTAGACATGAAATAAAAACAGTTGGGCTGATACATGTTTGCCTTTTCTCTTGTTTTCCGAACATGTAGGCAAAACTCTCAAGGGAAGAAAAGTGTCCATATCCAATAGAAAAACAGTATCGCTAACCAGTTGTCTTTGGAACTTTCTAAACCCATCTTCAGAATTGCCAAGAGTTACCAGGCATCTCCTGATCTGCGGCTGACCTGGCTCCAGAACATGGCAGAGAAACACACCAAGAGGAAGTGCTACACGGAGGCCGCCATGTGCCTGGTCCACGCGGCTGCTTTGGTGGCCGAGTATCTGAGCATGTTGGAGGACCACAGCTACCTGCCCGTGGGCAGCGTCAGCTTTCAGGTGGGGGCAAGTTCGCCTTTTCCTTTGGTGCAGTGGCTCTCATCTGGGGGCATTTGCCAATCTCTGAAAATATTTTTGGTTGTTACTCTGAGGGTGGGAGGGTAGGTACTAGTGGCATTTAATAGGTGTAACCAGGGATGCTGCTAAACACCCTACAATGCATAGCACAACTCCCACCACAAAAAAATTATCTGGCCCCCAAATATCAATATTGCCAAGGTTGAGAAGACCTGCTTTAGTGTATTATATTTGCCTTTTCTAATTGCTTTAGTGTCTTGGGTTTTTTTTTTATTATTTACAGTAAATATAGATTTGATAGGCATTTTGACATTCCCAAACAGTTTCACATCCATGATTTCATTTGACCTTCTCTGTAAACCAGTGAAACAAATAGAGAAGATATTATTACTCCCGCTGCACAGCTAAATTGAGAGAGCAACTTTTCTAAGGTCGTTTAAACTCTTTCTCAAAGACTTGTAATTGGCACAGTATACTGACAAATGTGAAAGTATTTTTTCCAAATATTGGAGAAACTATTCCCCTCCGAGCCCATTCCTTTGATTACACTCCCCAACTCTTTAGCATCTTCCTCTCTGATCTAAAATTGAGAAAGAACCAAACTGACCTGGGAAGGAAAAAAGGGCTGAATCAATACTGTCTTAGGATAAGCTTAATATTACCCATAATGAGCAATTGGAAATTGTCTGCTAGGTCTGAAAGTTGGTTCAGGTTGCAATGCTCAGTGGTCACTTGGACTGTTTTTGCTGAGTACTTTAAACAGTTTAGAGGAAGCAAAATTTTATGAGTACTTTTAGAGGCCTAATCCATAGAAATGACCATCCCTGAAACCTGTAACAGTATAGTACACAAAGAGAGCCCTTTTTAGGGCAGACTCACAAAGTCATTTACTTTACAAGTGTTTGGATTACTCCTGTTTGAGTTTACAGGACTGATTTTATAAAAGGCTTTATTCTCATTGTTGCTCTTCAACACAGTTTTGTGATGCTGTGTGAACCAGAAAGAGGAGATAATTCAAAGTAGCTTTCCCAGGCTTAGAAAGTAAGACAAAAACTACTGTTGGCAGAGCCAGGAGTTTCTGATTTCCTGAATACTGTTCACCAGGCAATCTGGGTATTGCCTCATATTATTAATTCCTCCTTTCTTATGGTCTTCAATACCAATAATATTTGTCATTTCATTCTCAGCAAATAAATTTTATTCTCAATTCAGAAAGGTTCGTTATAAAAAGCAAAAAATTTAATTCTTATCCAAAAAGCATAAAAATATCACATCTGATTTTGAATCACATAATAGTGAAGAAAGGTATAAAAACCAATTTTAGATATATGTGGTTTTTGCCAGATTTATTTTGACCATTTGATATTAGCAAGGAAAAATATAAGTACTACTCTTTCAGTTCCCAGAACTCTTTGGGCTTACTACTTAATGTGGAATTATATCATCCTTTTGTCTTGTTTCATTAACTAAACTATTGCTTATAAGCTTTAATGCCTTTTTCCCATTTACTGTATTTTATTTTATATTTATCACTTAAATATTAATGGCATTTAATTATTGTTTCATGTTTAGTAAGCCTTGCGATTCTTATTTCACCTAGAATTCTATTATTTATAGTAAGTCATATCGAGGTGAGTAGAATAGTTATTCTAGAAACAACAGAAAAACTCCATGTCATCCCTACATGGGGGCATATAGCTCTATTTTTTCATAGATCTTTATTCACTCATTCATTATTTTAGGTGATATTTATTGAGCACTTATTTTGTCCTCACGAACTTTACATTACAGCCAGAGTGTGACATCATATAGCTAATTCTTCCATTTCATATTCAACTACAATTATGATAACTGCTGTAACAAAGAGGTACAAGAAACTGTGAGTATTTATCATGTGACCCAGCTTGGTGGCCAGGGAGTGTTCAGAAAGATAAGGACGGGGAAGAGGGAGCAGAAGGAACTGTGAAGAATGAAGTCTTCATAACACACAGAACATGGTGAGAGGAGAAACCAAATTATGTTGATGCTTATGAACCAAGTCTCCTTTCTCTCAAATGAGGCATAGCAAATCTTTTAGGAAATGTGTGCTTGCACATGACAGAAAACCTAACCCAGACTGACCTAAGGTAAAAATGGAATTTATCAGCTTACATGAGAGAGATGAGTCTGGAGTAGCACCTGCCAAACTGGACTTAGGGGCCCAAACAGTGTCATCAGGCCTCAGCATCGTCATCACTTCCAGCCTCTGCTTTCTGTTATGTCAGCTCAGCTTCTTTCTTCACTGGCTTCCCACACTCATTGAGAAATATTTGTTTACATCTCCCTAGGTTCAAGTCCAGGAGAATAGAGAAATGCCCTATTTCCAAAAGTTGCAGAGACAGTCTCAGTGCATCTGTTAGTTCTGACTGAGTCATATGCTCATCTCTGAGCCAATCATAGTGGCCAGAGACATGGAATGCTATGACTGGCTGGACCAGAGTTGAGGTCCACACCTGGAGCTATGGACGGTTTCCCTGGAGGCTTTACTTTATAGAAGGATGAAGGAATTTTGGGCAGCATTAACAACAGATGTCCAATGTTGATTTTTTAAATGCTGTGTGCTTTAGTTTTCAAACTTGTTCTGCTCCAGTAAAATTGAATTTTTGGAAAGGAATTATAAACTGGAGATAAATAAATCTGTGCAAGGAAAATAACCCTGAGGCCACTGAATTCCAAGGAGCTGAGATCGTTGAAATTCTGTGCCCCAGAGTGCAGTATTTATTCCACAAATGTAGATATGTCTGCATTCTTAGATACTGATGTTTTTACCTCCCTGATTCTGAAGCCAGAAAAATCTGCCCAGAATCTTTTCTTTTGACTACAGCTAATAAGACTGCATAACTGCAAATATATTCCTCTACATGTGGACAACTGCATACAATACTAATACTATTCGTTTCTTTGGTCGTTAGATTTTATTCAACGAAAGCCCTTGGACCTTCTGTTATTTCTAGTTCAGAAACATCCTAGTAGAAAGACCAGGTTTGAAAGAAAGACTGGTCACAAAAGGTTCTGAGAGTCTCCTGTATTCCCAAAACTATCTTATACTGTTGAATATGAAGATACAGGACTGGAACAACTCTCTCTTCCTTGATGCTCAGGATGAGTCACTCGATCATGCTAGCCAGGCCAACAAGAGGCAGACAGATTTTACTTCAGTAGCCAACCCTGGTCAATTGATAGTGGCTGATTGGAGTACCATACTGAGAGGAATTTTGAAAAAAGCTTCAGGAAAAAGAGTACTATAATTAATTAGTTCTGTCTGCTATGAGTCTAGACATATGAAGAAATAGCATGTGTGCTACCTCTTTGCCAGTCCTAAGCTACAAAGGTTTCCAGGTTTTTTTTAATGTTCCATGTGCATTTTTTCTATAGCCGTGAGACAGATTGAAGAAAATGATTCTTGGCCTGTCAAAAGTATGAGAGTCCCTGCCAGAGCCAGAACTGGGGTGAGGTGAGCAAGGCATGTAAAGTGCAAACTTTAAGGGAGCACTCACCCTCGGGGTCCAGCAAGTTCCAGGTCATATCTTACAGAACCCTGAGAGTGAGTGTTCCCTAAATGTTGTGACCTGGGGTTTTCACCTTACTCACCCTAGCCCTGGCCCTGATCACTGCATTCTCTATGAGAGACTTTCAGCTTTATGGTTTATGTAAAAGAAAAGTGTATAGAGAGGAACAAAATGTTTGAGGGGAGAGAAAAAAAGCCCAGTAACTGCTGCATTGTCATAAAGATTCCCACAAAGAAAGCCTTCTCATTTGCAATAGTCATGTGATATCATGACTGTTCACCTACAAGCCAAGTCAGTAGTAGCAAGTACTTTAGAGTTTCACTCAGCTGGTGAAACAAGGAGTCCAATTAACTTTCTTAAAAGTTAATTTTAAAAACCACAATCCCTGCTGAATGTCCTTTAGGGTCCTTTCTCTAAAGCAACTCAGCTGTTGTTATGCTGAGGTAAGTGACCTTTCTGTATCTGCCAATGGTTAAAAAGAAAAGAACATCCTGAGTTTTGAAGGCCAGTGGTTCTATGTGTTCTTTCAAAATGAGTGGCAGCCAGAGGCTGTTCTAGATGGAATTGCAGACCTTTTACAGTCACACAAGGTGAGGCTGTTGGAGTGACGGCTTCCTCATCCCTACTGTGGACTCCTGTGGTGTCTTGTTAGTCAGGTTCCCCAACTCTCCGTGCTCATACTGAGTTCTCTTGCAGAATATTTCTTCCAACGTGCTGGAGGAGTCTGCCGTCTCTGATGACACCCTGTCGCCTGATGAGGATGGGGTGTGCTCCGGCCGGTACTTCACGGAGAGCGGCCTGGTGGGCCTACTGGAGCAGGCGGCCGAGCTCTTCATCACGGTCAGTACACCCCACGCCCTGGGCTGCCCCAGTCAGCGTGAGCTTCTGTGCTAGTGCCCTGCGTGTGGGTTTTAGCGCCCAGCCAGTGAGCTCCTCTCCATGACGACACCACGGGCAGAGATGCACAGGGCCGGGGAGGGGCCGGAGGACTTTGATGTATGTAAATTGGCTCAGCTCTCAGGGAGGTGAGAAAGCCTTTTCATCACTGCAATGTTCTGGCTTTCACTACATGCTCATTAGCTGGGCAGCAGTTTCACAGTATTATTTCCATTTAATAGAGGTGGAAACTAAGCCACAGCAAGGTGAAATGGCTTGCCCAGGCTTACACAATAAATCACAAGGCATGTTCTCATTCTCTCATTTACTCTCCTTGAGAGAGCTCCTGGGGTGGAGCCTCTGGGAAAAGAGAAAAAAAATAGAGCTTTCCTGACAGCTGAGTAATCCTCAGGATTGTCACAGGCCACAGACAGCTCAGAGAAATATAGGAGTAGAAACCACAGACACTCCCCTCACTAACCTAATCTGGGTCTGTTGTTGTTGTTCAGTCATGTCCAACTCTTTTGAGACCCCATGGATTGTAGCCTTCCAGGCTCTGTTGTCCATGGGATTTCCCAGGCAAGAATATTGGAGTGGATTGCCATTTCCTCTTCCAAGGGATCTTCCTGACCCAGGGATTGAATCTGTGTCTCCTGCATTGCAGATTATTCTTCACCACTGAGCTACCTGGGAAGCCCAGTCTGGGTCTAAATACTCCAAATTAAAGGAAAAAAATGTATAGATTAAGTTACTGAGTTTCAGGTCAGGAAAGAAAGTCTGTTGTTCATTTTCACAATTTCCCTACTCCCTCAAATTTTAAGCCAAATAAATATTTATTACTTCACTCAATTTAGCTGATCCAGTTTGTTTTCATCCTAATATTTTTCATTCTTCTCTACTTTTCATTTCCAAGTTTCCACCCTACAACCTATGTATTTTAATTTTTGTTTTAATTATGTTCTGTTTTTCCAGCTTTCCCTTGCAGAATCCAGATAACATCCAGGATACTTTGTTTTTCCTGAAATTCAAAAAAACCATCTAGTTAGACTCCTAAGTCTTTTCAGGCATTCAGTGAACATCTGGCTATATGAGGACCCCCATCTGGCTATATGATGCCCAAGATTGCCTTCCTGAATTGTTCTTAGTCCCTGCTGCCAGTCTCCTGTCCTATTTTTTCCCCAGGAAACCCCTTTTTCCAACTTAACATTATCAGATAGGACCATTTAGCATGTGTCTAGTTCAGTTTGAATGCTACAACCATCCCAAAGACACTCAGAGTTTCTTCTTGCACTGTAAGATATTGTGGTGCCAATAATAAATCCATTCCCTAGTGCCCAGTGGATTAATTCTCTTTGATTTTTTTCCTCCTCTTTCCAAGGGAGGACTGTACGAGACAGTTAATGAGGTCTACAAGCTGGTCATCCCTATCCTGGAAGCTCATCGAGACTTCCGGAAGCTGACCTCCACCCATGAAAAGCTGCAGAAGGCCTTCGACAGCATCATTAGCAAGGTAGCTGAGGATCCTGACTAACAAGTCCTATAATCTGATAGCAGGTGACTCTGTCTCAGAGATGCTTAGCCCTCCTTCCTCTCTAGGGAGTGATTGACCTTATGGACATCAGTACTGTAGCTCTCTCCTATCAAATGGAAAAGGGCTGGAAATAGAGGACTGTAATTCAAACTTTGAAAGAAGGCAGTTGAATTACTTTGCAACCAGGAATATGAAAATCTCTTAAATTCACTTAAAGAAATCCTAGAACTCTTTCATGGGTTGGTTTTTTTTTTTTTGCTATTATTTCCCAAGTTTGTTCTATAAACATTAATTTTTTTAAAGGTGTGAATTGTTAGTATTTGCCATAGGAATAAAATGTCTTGTAACCCAACAATAAAAGACTCCTGCCCTTTGCAACCCAATGGATCCTCATGAATTACAAAACTGAGAGGTTTTCTTATTTTGTCCATCAGGGTCATAAGAGGATGTTTGGAACCTACTTCCGAGTTGGTTTCTATGGATCCAAATTTGGGGATTTGGATGAGAAGGAATTCGTTTACAAAGAGCCTGCAATTACCAAGCTTCCTGAGATCTCTCACAGACTAGAGGTAAGACAAGTGATTCTGGGCGATTAACATTGTATACTTTACAAAAAGCAAGTTGTAGTAGGCCATTACAACAAAACTAAGAGTCATACATTCATCATTGATCTATATATAAAGTTTCCCACATTGCCTGTATAAAAGCAAGATATTAGGTGAAATCATGAGATAAAGCAAGGGAAGGATGCCTGTGTGCATGCTAACTCTTCAGTCACGTCTGACTCTTTGCGACTCCTTGGACTGTAGCCCACCAGGCTCCTCTGTCCGTGGGATTCTCCAGGCAAGAATACTGGAGTGTATAGCCTCCTTCAATGGATCTTCCTAACCCAAGGATCAAACTCGAGTCTCTTATGTCTCTTGCATTGGGAGGCAGGTTCTTTACCACTAGTGCCACCTGGGAAACCCCGTACTCTTCAAAGTTTGTAAATTAAAAAAAAAAAAAAAACACAAAGTTCGCAAATTTATATGGTGAATATTTTTCCAAGAATATCCAAATCAATGTCATGTGCTTTCTTGTAAACCTTTCCAAATTTCAGTAATAGTTTTTCAGCTTGGAGTTTATCATCTTGACTTTAAAGTCATCTGGCGAAATTGTCAAATTTCCCCTAGAAAATTCTGTGGTCATCTTTTTGGTGTTACCAGACAACTCTTCCAGCTTATGATTTGGAGATGCTCGACTGTAGGCCTACTGTGTCCTGGGCACAGTAAACTCTTCCTCTTGATCCAAGGAGCACCCCTGTCTGGATAATCAGAGTCAGCACCCAATCCCATGTTCTGGCAGCCGCAATCCAACCTGCTGTTTACATTTGACCCAGAATGTAGCAGAAGAGAGCAGCATGTTCTTGGACGGAAAGCTGGAGAAAGGGAGAAACAACCTAGAGAAAAGTGAGAAAGAAAGAAACAGACATGGGAAGGGCCAGGCATTAAGAACTCAGGAGGAAAGTCATGGGGTGCCCCCTAAGCAAAATCATCTCAAGCTGAATAAGTGGGTCCCCTGAAATGCTGATGACAATTAACTGGAAATTCACTTTTTGCTTTCTTGCTGTTGCTTTGAATTTATGTCCTTTCATGACTGTCACACTTAAAACACTTTTGTTGTCAAATTGTTCCTTATATCGATACTATCCATCCATGCCAGATGAGACAAGAAACTTTAATCCTTACTTGACCCAACAAAGCCATGGTTCAAAGTGAATGGGTGACTTGCGCAAAGTTTTTCAGCTCATGAGAGGAACTAGCAATTGACCCCAGGCCACTTGGTTTCCTAATATGTTTCCCCAATTTAGAACTAGAAGCATATATTTTATCTTCCTGTGCGCTGTGGTTTGTCACACTATGGGAAGCCTCGTGACCTCCAAGTTCCTAGGGTACAAAAGGCGAAAAGTAAATAGTTCTATGCCCTGGAGCATCTTCTGGGAATATATGATGCTGTTGAATTAGATGTCAAGCATACATTTTATATGGACGTATAGATCAGTTTGCAAATGCTGGACTTCATTTTATTTTTATTTTTGTCTCAGGAAATGCTGAACTTGCCTCATTAGCTCGGAAGGACATTAAATAATTCAGAGAGCACATTCTACCATACACTTGTTCCAAACTTATTCCGCTTCTAAAGACAAAGAGTTGCAGCATATTAAAATAACCTTTATAATCTTTTGGTTTCTCTTGCCTAGGCATTTTATAGTCAATGTTTTGGTGCAGAATTTGTGGAAGTGATAAAAGACTCTGCTCCTGTGGACAAAACCAAGTTGGACCCTAACAAGGTATGGGAATATTGCAAAAAATAGCCATTAGGCTCTGATTCCCTTTGTTCTTCCCCCTAAACATAAGATGACCTCCTCTGTCTGGACTCCACGTCATTTCAATGCAACCAGTTTTTTTGTTGTTGATTATGGTTTAACGGTTAAGTCTTAAACCATACTCGATGGCAGGGATCATAATAGGAGCCACCATTTATTAAAGACCAGCTGTATGCCTGACACTGTATAAAACCCTTTACATACACCATTGCATTTCATCCTCCTGCAGTTCCTTGATGTAAACATTGTTATTCCCATTTTATAGATGAGAAAAGTAAGATCTAGAATAGGTAAGCAACTTCCAAGATCATGCAAGTGTCAAAGCCAGTATTCAGATTTGGGGTCTGTGATCCTCAATCCTGCACTTCTAATCACTTCTTTACTGCCCTTCTATTAAAACTTCGAATCTTCAATTTAAAGTATGTTGAAAATATACAAACTTCTCACTGACAGCATTTGGTTGAGGCATTCTTTTCAGCCACATACAGGATCACTGTGCTGTTGGAGGAATGATGAAAAGGGCTTGGACTTCAGTTTCCTCACTTTACATATGAGGGTATATTCTGTCTCACCCCCAGGTGGGTGTTCAGTTCAGTGCATTTCAGTTCAGTCGCTCAGTCATGTCTGACTCTCTGCGACCCCATGAATCGCAGCACGCCAGTCCTCCCTGTCCATCACCAACTCCCGGAGCTTACTCAAACTCATGTCCATCGAGTCGGGTGATGCCATCCAGCCATCTCATCCTCTGTCGTCCCCTTCTCAATCAGTCCCTCCCAGCATCAGGGTCTTTTCCAATGAGTCAACTCTTTGCATGAGGTGGCCAAAGTATTGGAGTTTCAGCTTCAGCATCAGTCCTTCCAATGAACACCCAGAACTGATCTCCTTTAGGATGGACTGGTTGGATCTCCTTGCAGTCCAAGTGACTCTCAAGAGTCTTCTCCGACACCACAGTTCAAAAGCATCAATTCTTCGGTGCTCAGCTTTCTTCACAGTCCAACTCTCACATCCGTACATGATCACTGGAAAAACCATAGTCTTGACTAGACAGACCTTTGTTGGCAAAGTAATGTCTCTGCTTTTTAATATGCTGTCTAGGTTGGTCATAACTTTCCTACACAGCTAGGTACAATTCTGAGCTCAGCATGCAGAGTTAGTGTCAGACTCCACCAGCTAAAGCTCAGTCCTGCAGGAGCTTGCCCTCACTTTAGGTGCCAACCTCAAGTGGGACCCCAAGCAGCCTGCATTTCTGACCAGACAAATACAAATGTGTGGGTTCCCTTGGCACTTTTCAGTAGATAATCCACTAAAATGACTTGCAGAACTCAGAAAAGGGCTATACTGATGCTTATAGTTTTGTGATAAAGGTTGCACAAAAGGCTAGTTCTATCCCAGAGCTTCTATGCCTTCTCCTTGTGGAATTCAGGCCTGGCGCCCTCCTGACATATCAATGTGTTCACCGACCTGGAAGCTCCACTGAGCCTTGTTGTCCAGGGTTTTTATTGAGATCCCATTACACAGGCATGTTTGATTAAATCATCAACTACATTATTGAACTCAGTCGCCAACCTGCTCCTACCCCAGCAGGCGGGCTGGCCCAGAGTCCCAGTTGTCTAATCTGAAGATTGTTCTTGCTGATGACCAGCCATAATCCTGAAGCTATCTAGGGACCCACCATGAGTTACTTCATGAGAATAACAGTGACTGTCACTGAGGGAATCCCAAGAGGTTTTGAAGCTCTGTGCTAGGAGGGAAGGACAAAGACTAGATACATTCTTTATTATACCATGGGGTGATAACTGCCGGCTCAGCCCAGATGTGTACCTGAGAGAGACTTCTAAGCTGTTGGACATAATGCACGTTCGAGGTATTTTTAAGGCCTGAGGGACAGAGGAGCAGTTGACATCCGGAAGGCCTACAGAGTGAAGAATCCAAACTCTTCTCTCAGTTCTGGCTTCCATGATATTGTGAAGATGAGGCCAGTGGGAAGAAGGTGTCCAAATATCAGAGTTTGTTTTTCTACATGTTTCAAAGGACTTACTTCAGATACATTCCCTAATCTAGGCTTGAAGCAATAACTGTGGTGAGTATAAGCGCTTCACACAGAAATGTTTGAGGTCTTTGAAAGACAAGACTTGCTGTTTACCCATGGTGAGCTGTGCACAGCACATGCCATCTAGAGTTACTGGTGACATATCTGACGTAGAGTGCTGGTTTCCCCTCTGTTAAAATGCCCAAAGTAAGTTGTGAGACTTTTAAATGAGAGTCTATACCTGGGATTATAACCAGATTTCACCACACTAAATAATGATTTATGTGTACTTATTAATAGTCAGTGACCTTATCTGTCTATTTCAGTGGATGAGTGTTGCAGAGTCTGTGGTCATTATCATTCTTCTTTTTTTTTTTAAGGCCTCTTTCTTAATAAGTGCTCTTCTTCATAGTGTGTTGGTATGGGTGCATGTGTATGTACATACATTTTTAAATTAAATATATGCTATAAAACTCCATTTTTTGTGTGTATCTCTATAAATTTTAAATCAAGAGATAAGTTCCATCACCCCAAAATATTTATTTCCCCATGCTTCTCTGTGGTCATCGCCTCCCTCTGTTTTTAGCCCCTGAAAGTCATTAATCTATATTCTGTCTTTGTAGTTTTGTTTTTTCCAGAATGCCATATAAATAGAATCATACAGTAAATAAATGGACTCATACAGCCTTTTGAGTCTGACTTCTTTCACTTAGCACAATGTATTTGTGATTTACCCATTTTGTAATGGTTCATTCCATTTTACTACTGAGAAGTATTCTGTTGTATGGATGTACCAGAGTTTGTTTATCCATTCTTCACTTGAGGGACACTTGGGTTATTCCTATTTTTTGTCTATTATGTATAGTGCTGCTATAGACATTTGAGTCCAGGGTTTAATAAAAACACAAGTTTTCATTTCTTTTGACACACACACCAAAGTGGGGTTGCTGGGTCATATGATCAATATAATACAACAGTATAAAAAACTGCCAGTCTGTTTCGTAAGGTGGCTGTACCATTGTACACTCCCACCATCAGTGTATGAAAGCTCCAGCAGCTCCCTATCCTTGTCAGCCCCTGGTATTGTCAGTTTTCTTTAGTTTGGCCATTCTGATAAGCATGGTTGTTCTGAAAAGCAAAGTTTTGCTTCTTCTGAATAGCAGTTTGCAAATTCTCACACCAAGTTTCAGAAAGTTGGGTCATGAGCGCTGCTAGGAGGGGCAGCTTGTGGACCTGACTTCATCCTCCCTTCAGCTTCTCCCAGCCCTGTCTCTCATCTCCTCGGGGGTGGAGAGGAAGGATGGCTAACAGCTGATGTCTCCCCTAGTTCTCTCAGCTTTGTGAGCACAGAGGGGTGTACTGCCACTCTCTGTCCTGAGGACACCCCCCCCCACACCCCCCGCCGCCCTGCAGTGAGTCCTGGGTGGTAGTTTGCAGACCAGCTCATCCCTTCCCTTTCTCCACTCAGGCCTACATACAGATCACTTTCGTGGAGCCCTACTTCGATGAGTATGAGATGAAAGACAGGCTAACCTACTTTGAGAAGAACTTCAACCTGCGGAGGTTCATGTACACCACCCCCTTCACCCTGGAGGGCCGGCCTCGGGGTGAGCTGCATGAGCAGTACCGGCGGAACACCGTCCTGACCACCATGCACGCCTTCCCCTACATCAAGACCAGGGTCAGCGTCGCCCAGAAGGAGGAGGTAAAGGCGCTGGGGGGCGGGCTTGGACAGTGGCCGTGGCTGAGCCAGTGCGCCTGGGTCTCCTCCCAGGATGACACACGGGCTGCCCTCATGCTCCTTCATGGCAGACTCACATAAAAATCTTAAAAGGGATGCCTTTGAATTATTATTAAGGTGGTTATCCGCTCACTGCCATGGTGCCAGGGAATCCCATCTAGGCAACTGCATGCTTTATAGCACACTTGATATTTAAGTATATTCTACTTTAAAGTTATATCTTTAATAGAAATATATGTGCATGATTGTAACATTTACTTTGTATTTATATTTTAATGTTAAAATTCACATGAAATATAAAATTTTAAAGATTTTATTTAAATTTTCACATATTTGAAAGCTTCAGGTGATTTCAACAGCATTCTGTTGTTAATTATCAGAGACAGGAACAGCAAGTGAGTAGCCCCAAGGAGGTGATGTTGAGCTATAGGAGGGCACCATGCCAGTTAGACAGGAGACCAGTTGTCTTCTAGTCCCAGCATCCTCCTGTGACACAAGGCACTTATCTTCATCAGTTTCCCTATCTAAACGTTGATACAGGAAAGACCTCTTTCTCTCTTCTGGTTCCACGTGTAGCAAAAGACCTCAAATTCATGGATCAAGAAAATGTCTGAAGCTACAGAATTGCTGCAAATTAGACATAAGTATTTTCTTTTAGTTTAAAAGACATACATGTGCATTAATTTGTCATTCATTTTGTGTAGAGTCACTGCCTTGCCTGTGATTTAGGGTTGGCTGATCACAATTCAGCATTGTATTTCTTGTATAAACCTCACCCATGATGCAATATCCATGTGTTCAGTTTTGGTTTCTGTAAAGCAGAGTGAGAACTTAAAGAACCTTGTAAAACAACATGAGAGCAGAATGCTTCTAGATTTTTATGATTATGATTATTATTATTTTTTTTTTTTTTTGCCCCTAGCTTTTGACCGTTGTCTTGAGCACACCTAATAAGACAGGAATCTTTATAGCAACTCAGTTTCACAACATCTTGCCCAAGCATTAGCTTGGTTTTCATAGAAACAACTCTTCTTCTTTCCACACCCATAATTCACCAGTTTATGCATTACTGAATTAGATTAGGTCATTAAAATAACAAGTATAACAGGCGTAAGCAAGTTGGTGAACAAACACAAATGAATTGTGGTGAATAACACACCTCCTTGTGCAGGAGCATAGGGACTGAGATTCCTGGAGAGTTGCTCACCAACTCATGTGTTCAGCAACCACATCACAGTATGGGTTTCACAGAGGGCAAAGAAAGCCCAAATTGATGACTTGGCTAAGAGAAGGTTCACTTAGGAGGCATCTGCTGTATTTCTTTCTTTCTTTTTTTTTTTTTTTTGTATTTCTCTTTTAGGCTTCTGAGCACTAGGACAAGTTGGTACAACACAGAAATAAAATCATGGTCTCAGTAAGAGTCCTCACAATTTTTCTTGGCCATTTGTAGTTCCTCCAAGAATGTCAGTATGTTAGTTTGTTAAGGCTAATATAACAAATTACCACAGACTGGGTGGCTTAGAAACCAAAATTAATTGTCTAATAGTTCCGGTGACCAGCAGTCAAAAATCAAGGTACTGGCAGAGTTGGTTCCTTCTGAAAGACATGAGGGAAGGCTCTGTTGCAGACCTCTTTCCTTAGCTTGCAGATGGCTGCCTTCTCCCTGTTTTTCTTACATCATCTTCCCCCTATACATATCCTGTGTCCAGGTTTCTTCTTCTTAGATGGACATATAACCATGTTGGATTAGGCCCATCCTAATGACTTCTTTGAACTTGATTACCCCTGTAAAGATTGTATCTTAGTTAGAGCCACATTCTGAAGTCCTGGAGTCTAGAACTTGAACACCTGAATTTGGAGGGAACATGACTCCACCAATAACGTTTAGACCACACTCCAAACCAACAGAACTTAACAAGTAGCAGATTGACCCTGAAGAGAATTCTGTTTATCAAGAATTTAGAGATTTAGAGAAAGCACACATGATGCCAAAATCTTGTGTTATGGTGGAGAAGAAAGTCTTGATTACTGTGCTTTCCCAATTTTAAGTCAAGTAACTTATTCAACAATAGGAAAGGAAACCTAACAGTGTATAAGAAAATTGGATTTTGAATGTGGATATTATTGTGGTCAAAATCGGACCTCCCCACTTATGACTGGTGTCATTTTGTGGCACTTACTTCACCTTACAAATCCTTCTTTGATTGTAAAGTGGAGAGAATAGGAGTTTGTTTAAAGAGGTAAATGATAAATGTATGTAAAGCTTCTGGTACATAATAAGTACTCAAGAAACGTTAGACTCTTCCTTCCTCTTAACCTGTCAAGATTATTCTAAATTGCTCTGAAAGCCTTCACTGCTGCTTCAAACCCAAGTGTCCTCTTTGTCGTAGCTCCATGCTTGCTCATGGCTTATAAGACCTGACAATGACCTTCCCTACATTTATGTCTCACGTTCAGTTTGTTTTGACACCAATTGAAGTTGCCATTGAAGATATGAAGAAGAAGACTCTGCAATTAGCAGTTGCCATTAACCAGGAGCCTCCTGATGCCAAGATGCTTCAGATGGTGCTGCAAGGCTCTGTTGGAGCTACTGTCAATCAGGTAAGCAAAACTAGCTGGGGGCGGCTCCTCTGGTTCTCGTTATTTTTATTTTCATTGTATATCCGCACCCTCCTTCCTTGAAGTCAATGAGAAGTCTGATCAACATGCCAATGGTGTTCTTAAACTTAGACTGAACACCTGAGGTCTCTTAGAAATCCTAGAGCTGAGTGGACCATGTCTCAGGAGTACTATTTCCTTGGAGAAGTCTTGAGTTGGGGCCAGTTCTGGCATATGATCCGGGTAGAGTGCTTAGTCATCTCCACTTTAGGCAGAGTTGTTGCAGGGCCTGAGATGAATCTTAAGAATGCCCTAGGAGAGAAGGGAAAGGGTCTAGAACATCCACCTCCTACGTCAGTCAAATGAAACCAGTATGTCAGGAGCACTGCAAAGCAGGAGTGACCTGGAACCCCGCTTCTTGGGCCACTTCAGAACGGGCTGAATCCTCTCAGATTCATTAGAATTCTAACTCCAGTCTCACCATGGGACTGATCCAGCCTCAGATGGAGGGCATTCTAACAGTTCTCTCTGTCCAGTGTGCTGCTTTGATTTCAGAACTAAATCTACACACCTTCACACTCAAAATTCAATGAGTGTCATGACCCTTCCCTCACTCTGCACAGCTGAACTCCCCTGCAAGAAGTCTGTGCCCAGAGAATATCAAGGCGACAGAAATGGTATTCATTACATTTCCAAGATCAGGAAATATTAAGAAGCTTTTGCTTTTTCTAAGTCCCAATCTTTTAATGAAAATGGAAGACTTTATAAGCCCACAGCCATGTGGATTACACATATACTGTGCGTATCTCTGACTCAAGCCAGCAATTACACAAAATGGTGCTTGCCACTAGGGCAACTAGACAAATGAATATGAATGGATGGATCAAGACAATCCCTATTTTCAGGAAAGCAACTCTAATCATATACCATTTGATATAGTATATTGCCTTTATATATGAAGGAAAATCTATTATTAGTAGCATTTGATTAAGGAAATACATTTATGCTTTTGAATGTTCTCCTAAAACTGTAGACTCTTCCTAGGGAATCAACATTTTCCTGAGTTAAAGACCTTCCTTGATTTTTTTTGTTTCAGTTTAACTAACTACAGGATCAAATGTTCAAACTAAGAAGTTGCTCCAACATTTTCTCCCAAGTAATGTCACTTTCTTTCCAACATCAGTAATGTTTTTCACTTTTTTCTATCAGGGACCACTGGAAGTAGCCCAAGTATTTTTGGCTGAAATTCCAGCTGACCCAAAACTTTATCGGCATCACAACAAGTTGAGATTATGCTTTAAGGAATTCATAATGCGGTAAGAGGGGAAATGACTGGGAGTTCAGTAGAGCATTGCTTCTTGAAGTGTGGTTCCCAGGCCAGCAGCTTCTGCATCCCCTGAGAAATTTGCTAGCGAGGCAGATTCTCAGATACCAGTCAGATACCCTGAGTAAGAATCTCCAGAGATGGGGCCCAGTCACCTGTATTTTAACAGTGCTCGGGGTGATTTGGATGCATTCTTAAGTTTGAGAGGCCTCTGCAGAGCAACACTACTTGCACTAGTAACTAACAAACTGAATGGTGTTTTCATGTTTATCATCTCTCATGTGCCCCACAGTCACACTGTAAATAAAGTAAGTCTTCATTTTACAAAAGAGGAAATGGAGGGTCAGAGATGGGAGATGATTGACTTAAGGTCACACAGCCAGTTAGTAGCAGAGTTGAGTTCATACCAGGTCTTCTGAATCCAAAGAGCCCACACTTCCTTCAGTTTGCTGATATTCCACAGTGCATTAGAGCCTGAGAGTTTCCTGGCATTGGCAGTCTTTGTAATTTCCCATCATACAATAACTGATTTTTAGAAATGTAAGACACTGCCTCAAAGAGAGAGAGAGAGTCAAGATTCTGTAACTGGAAGCTTACAAAGCTATCATTGCGATGGCAGTTCCCACTGGCAGACAAGCCTCATCTCCGCTCTTGAATTCTGCAGTGGAGCTGGCTGCCAGAGAAGCCTGTTGAGCCTAGATTGGAAGTGAGTCTTGGGGCAAAGTCTTGCAAGCTGCTGCAGTGCAGACCAGTGTGCTGGGACTCCTGTGGCCCTAGTAAGAATGATTACGAAGGATGTGATGGCTCCTCACCTGTAGGAGAGAAAGATATCAGAAATACATGAACTAATACTTCTTTTCATCCAGAACCGTAGAGCAGCATATAAAGTATAGGAATATCTTTGTTTGGCAGATGGGGATAAAGGAGGCTAAAAGTTAAAACTTGCTGAATTCAGTGAAAACTCACCAGAATGCTACTGTCAGGTGAGGTTTCCCTCCTTCACAGGCTTTAGTGAGACGAACATAAATTTGCTGTGTATAAAGGAGACATTCTTTGTCCTACAGTGAATCACAACTGCTTAGTAATAAGGGTGTGTGTGTGTGTGGCTGTGTATATGTGTGTGCACGCATCCATATATGCACACATACATACACATACAGAAATTATATTTATTGTTTTACATTTGAATTGCTTCCTGTATTTCATAGTAATTTTGACATTATGCCAAAGTTAGATATTCTTCAGTAAACACTGCATTTTCATAAAACAAAAGCCTAGAAGAATATTGGGGGGATTTTTAAAGATCAATTTATTTCCCACGTATTTTCATTTAAAATGAGCTATGAGGGAAAAAATATTAAAAAATAAAAAAAAAATAAAATGAGCTATGGGGATATTCCTCAGCAAACCAGTGGTTAAGGTTCTGTATTTTCGTTGCTGAGGATGCAGGTTCAGTCCTTGGGCAGGGAACTAAAATCCCACAAGCCATGCAGTATAGCCAAAAAAGTAAATAAATAAAAATAGTCAGTCTATATTTAAAAAATGAGTTATGGTGAAAGGCTGCTGAAGGTGACGGTGACCTGGGCCTCTCTGGACCTCTCCAAGGACCTGTGAAATATTTAATGAGCACACACACTGGGACCCAGGTATGATAGTGGTTGTGGGAATGCAGGAGCTGGGTATTCCTCAGCTCCTGACGAGAGGACTTTTATTTGGCTAAACAACAAAGCTATGCAGCTTGTGCTAAGAGCTGTGGAGAGTGCAAGAAATACAGGGTTACGGAGTTCAGAAGAGAAGAGTCGGCTGCAGGCTGGAGTGACTGGGGAAGGCTTGATGGGATAACATTACTGACACCATGTCTTGAGTATGTAGGTGGTAGGAAGAGGGCAACGGGGAGATGGAGCCATCACCGGTAAACTGACCCACAGGAGCACAAGACGCAGAGGCAGGGGTGTCCTTGATGCTCCTGGGCTCCTCTGAGTTGCCAAGGGCAGTGTTTTCTGTGGGCACGCCAGCATCGGGAGGAGAGCCTGGGAAGACAGTGGTGTCGCTATTCTCTGAATAGAACATAAATGTAAAAGGAAGCTTGCTAAGAGAAGTGATTTTCTGTTTCTTAGTTAAAACGTCCTTATAAATCTACTGAACAAGCATTGCTAATTAGCTTCCAGCCTGAGGACAAGTGACTACAAAGAGAACCGGAGCTGAGTCAAACCAGTCCCAGGCCAAATACACAAAAGGAGATGAATTTTCTTAGGGATGATCCTCTAGTAAAGTCATGTATTTTGATGGTGAAGTTATCTTTCTCCCCAGATGGCCTGCAAAAATGGTTGCTTTCCAAAATCAAATCCACCATTTAAAATGTTCTCCAACCCTTCCAGTGATTCCTATGGGAAACCAAGCTGTAGTCCTTCCCCTGTGCTGGGTGGGCTGCCCCCTGTTCTGGGAAAGCCTCAAGAACATCTGTCGGTGCTTTTCAAACATTTGCTGTGCAAACAGATGACCTGGGAATCTTGTTAAAATGAAGACTCTGATTCAGCGGCTCTGGGGTGGGCCTAAGACTCTGCATTTCTAACAAGCTTCCAGGTGCTGCTAAAGCTGCTGGATGGAACTGAACTTTGAGCAGAGACTGTAAAGATGTAGAGGTTGCTTGACCGCCCCCATCTCACATTTTCTCCTCCCTCCCCCCTCCCCAGGGCTCCGTCCATCAGGTCCTGCCTGTTGTCACTCACATTTTTCTTCCCCTTTCCTCCCTTCAAAATAGTGAACATGCCGTTACTTTTACACTTTTTAACAACTGTAGATGCCAGTTCATTCATTCAGCAAACAGTTACTGAGCCCACACTTTGTACCAGGCACCACAGTACGTGTGTGCCAAAGTGAGGTCCTAGTACAAATGAGACAAGGCTACGGGTGATATAGTACTTCTGCTCACTACTTCGCTGTCAAAGTCAGAAGACAGTGACTTTCTTTCCACTTTATTTCACATGAATCAAAAGTAGTGGGCGAGACTGTCGTAAAGGTTGCATAACCATATTAAACTGTACATTTACAGTTTAATACATAAATGATGATTAAACTCATCAGACTGTGCATTTGCAAGGGTGAATTTGATGATCTGTAACTTATACCTTCAACACAAGTAGCAGCTGAGGAAACATTCCTTTCCTCCATGGCTTAATTGCTTCTCAAGTCCAGTCAGCGTGTTGTGGCTCTGCAATGAATAGAGAAACTGTTTGCTCAAGTTGTTTGTCCCAGTGTATTTTCTCCCCCAACTCTGCTGTCTGCAGAGGTGACACAGGAATGGGAAATGTTTGGGCATGAACGTGTTCCTGGGTTTGCCTTGAGTGAGCGCCAGCTTCTCAGCAGGCTTGGGCCATAGATGTATCAGTAAGCCCAGATTTCCAAGGTGAACATAAATGAGCCTGAGAAAGTGAAAAAGTGTTAGTTGCTCAGTCATGTTTGACTCTTTGTGACCCCACAGGCTATAGCCCGCCAGACTCCTCTGTCCATGGAATTCTCCAGGCAAGAATACTGGAGTGGGTAGCCATTGCCCTCTCCAGGGGATCCTTCCAGCCCAGGGATTGAACCCAGACCTCCCACACTGCAGGCAGACTGTTTACCATCTGAACCACCAGGAAAGCCCCCTATCAGGAAGCCATCCCATGCTGACTGCTAACAGCGGAAATGTATGCTTCGGGTTTTACTGCACCTGGGTCCCACTGCTGGGCAGTGGCCCTTCTGACTCAGCTGGGACAGACTGGCTGGAGCTGTAGAGAGCCTGGCAGGCTGACCTGCTGCGGCTGACGCTCATCCAGCCAGTGCTGCAGCTCTTCAGATGGTTGCCAAGTTGGGACCTTGATCCCCTTCTGAATCATCTCTGGGTTTCAGAAGCCGAGATAGAGAGGTACAGCATTCTGTTTCCCTCCTTTGCTCCTCAGAGCATGCAGACCTTTTAAAACACTGAAATCTGTGCCAGTCTGTATTTTTATTTTTTCTTCTTGTATTTCTTAGCTTAGGCCGGTATAACTAAATATCACAGATTGAGTAGCTGAACAACAGACATTTATTTCTCACAGTGGTAGAGGCTGGGAGACCAAGATTAAGGGGCCAGCAGATTCAGTTGAGGTTCTCCCTCTTGCTGGCTTAACCATCTTCTCACTGTATCCTTACATGGTAGAGAAGAGCAGCAAACAGTTCTCTGGTCTCTTTCTATGAGGGCATTAATCCCAACATGTGGGTCCCACCCTCACAGCCTAATTTTAACCTTCATTCCTCCTAAAGGCCCCACCTCCAAATCACATCACATGGGGGTCAGTGCTTCAACATGTGGTTTTGGGGAGGATGCAACCCTTCAGTCCATAACATGTACACTTTCTTATTCCTATAAAGACTAAATGATTTTTAAATTTACTTTTATATTTAAAGAAAAGATAGTAGGACTCGATGACACCAGTCCCAGATTGCCTTTAAGCGATATTGTTTCAGATACATCAATAGAGTCTCACTGCGCAAGGTCATAGAGTCTTAAAAGGACTTATGGTCTGTGAAGAGGAAGGAGAGTGAGTTTGTCCAAGTGGCCAAAAGAAAAGCAACTGTGCAGTGTGGGTGATAAAAGAAACGTTGGTGAAAAGTGATCTGAGTATTTGGTGGGAAAACAAAGCCTTAAACATCATGAGAGGTTGCTCTGGAGCAGGTCTGTAGTGGGGACATTTGAAGGACTTGTGTCCCTTTTCCATGGTCACAGAGACCTGTCTCAGTGGGCCTAGGAGGCTTGACAGAAAACTGAGAGCTGAGCAGAGCAGCACACATGTGCATGTGCGTGCACACACATACTTACATGCACACAGCTTTCCCCTCATACACACACACACACACACACACACACCTACCTTTGGACCCCACCCCCTACCTGGGTTCTGAGATGTTGCAGTAGGTCCTCAGAATCTGCTTCCAGGTATCAGACTCAAGGTTGGACATATTCCCAAGCCCATAGTCCCAATCTCGCCCATTAGAGGAGGAGACAGGGCCACTGTGGCTTACCCAAGGGAGGCAGCTGCGTGGGCCCCTCTGGGGCAGCCCATCCGAGGGAGGTGGGGGGCTTGGGAACACAGGAAGATCCAGCCGCAGCTGCCCCTTCTGCCCTGGGGTGCGCCCCCTGCCCCCACAGTGCCCTGTGCTTTCAGCCACACGTGCCTCCCCATCAGTGTGATCGGGCGCCCAGGAACTGTGTCTGCTGTTGGACCGTTACCTGCTCTTCGCCCTAGGAGAAGCAGGCCACACTGGCTGCCCGGCACTCCCCGCTGGCAGCCACCCAGCCAGGTCTTCAAACACCGAGACCATTTCATCCCCATAAGCCCACTGTATAGATGGAAGAAACGAGGTTAAGCTGTGTGACTAGCCCAAGGTCACACAGCAGCTAAGTGGCAGAATCAGGTATTAAACTAGTCTCCCACTGAGACAGGCTGGGGTCTGGGATTTGATAGAGGTCAGGCTGGGAGGGAGGAAATGCCGGAGACAGGGTTGGAGAAAGCCACAGGGAGACGTCCAGCTGAGGTGGCTCTGCCCATGGGATCCCCATATCCTCTGAAGCTCTTCCTGCAAAAAGGCCAGATGTTCTTTTGGTGCCTTGCCCCCAAATAATCCTTCCTTCCCTTAAAGGGCCTGGAACATATGTGTCATTTCAGTCATGGGAGGTCAGGGAGCCAATCTGATTTCCAGCATCTCTGTCGGATTCTCCCCTCATTCCAGCAGCTCAGGTGGGACTTGCTAAAGTGTTACCAAGAAGGTGAGAAAAGCAGAATACCACAAATTGGGACTCCAGAGAGAATAGTTCCAACTTGAGACCAAAGCCATATACCTAGCTTCTAGCTGGAAGAGCCAGGGTCTTTCCTAGGTAGCATTTGTGGTGTTGGGGTCAGAATTGTGGGCTCTTGATCCCAGTCACCTGGCTTTAAATACCCACTCTGCCTTAACTAGCTTTGTGCCCTTGGGCAAGTTACCCAACGTCAGTTTCCCAAGCTATAAAATGGGAATAAAATAGTAACAACTTCTTAAAGTTAGTATCAAAACGGAGAGAGTCAGTTCATGGAGCTTAGAATAGGACTTGCCACATATGAAGTGACTGATAAATATAACATTATGGAGCAAATAGAAATTGATCTATTTGAGTAGGAAAGAGAAGTAATCTGAATTAAATGTAGATATTGTCTACCAATGACTCATCTGCCCCTGTAAGGTTTGTACCGTAACACATGGTAGGGCTGATAAGACATTGGCCTGGGAGCATCAGGATCTTGGATTTACATCCATGTTTTTTGTCCCCAAAGGGGTGTGATTCTGGACAGGGTACTTCATCTTTGCATCTTAGTTTCATCAACTGTGAAAAAAAATGGACTGGAATATAAAATCTCTAAAAGTACATTCTCATTCTTACATAGGACAAATAATTTCTACACATTCTAAGCATTTTATATATTTAATTAATTTAATCTTTATAAAAATTTATGAGGTAGGCTATTATCACCATCATGTCCCGAGTGAAGAAACTAAGACAAGGAAAGCATAAGTAACTTGCCTAATGTCACAAAGCCAGTAAGTTGCAAAGCAAGATTGAGAGGTGAGTACTCCAGTGCCAGAGTCTATCCTTTTAACTATTATGCAATGCAGTTCTCACTATGCACTACATTCAGTTGCTAGTAACAGAGAAAGGAAGTAAGAGTGACTTAAGATAGAAACTTATTTTTCTCTCATATAAAATAAGATCAGAGATGGCCATCCCACAGCTGTGTGTTAGTCACATAAAGTCATCAGAGACCCTGGCTTTTCCCATTCTTTTTCTCTGCTGTCCTGGTTTTAGTCTATCCTCATAGTCACAAAATAGCTGCCAAGGCTCTGGCAATCACAATCACATCCTAGGCAAGTACCAGGAATAGAAACAAGGAAAGAGCGAACGTCTCCACTCCTTTTAAGAGCTTTCCTAGTGACTTCATTTTATATCTCATCAGACATCCCTTTTTATAAGGGAGGCTCGGGAATGGAGTTTTCCAGGTGGGTATACCACCTGTGTGTGTGCATAGCTGATCAGTTGTGTCCAACTCTTTGCAATCCCATGGATGTAGCCCACCAGGCTTCTCTGTCCATGGGGATTCTCCAGGCAAGAATACTGGAGTGGGTTACTGTGTCCTCCTCCAGGGGATCTTCCCAACCCAAGGATCGAACCCAGGTCTCCCGCACTGTGGGTGGATTCTTTATTTCTGAGCCATCAGGGAAGCCCGGGTTTACCACCTAGAGTTCTGTTGTTAAGGAGGACAGGGAATGCATGTTGATGAAGCAACTAGCAATTTTTTGTCATACTTAGGGACTGATGGGTGAGCTATGCTGAAGGAACATTGCCGAGGAGGGAGGGCAAGAGATCCAGAGGGTGAGGGCTCATGGCCACCCTCTCTGTAGAAAAGACATCTAACTCCTTAGAGAGAGGCCTATGAGAGTTACTCCCCAAAAAACCAAGAACAGTGTTCTGAAAGTACAACTTCCTGCCCTTTCTAGTCCGCATCAGTCTGGTTTCTGTAGGACTCTGCTGAAAAACTCCCAGCACATTGACTGTAAGAAAATGCTTGTGTTCAGTGAGCTTATCAACAAAGTGAACAGCAAAGGACGGAGCCATCTGGAACAGTGGTGGATCTGAGTGAAAGCTGCACAGTTCAGATGTTTGTGGACCTAATAAAAATGTTACAGATGAGACCATTAAAAAAAAATTATTTGTAATGTACTTATATGATCCTGTATACATTTCCCAAGAGATCTGGCTCTTCTCTAGGAGAGAAATTTAATTCATGGCTCTCTTTAGTTTATGGATTTAAATTAACATAATGAAAATTATTTTAATTTTAGTAAGAAAACCTAGAGATTATAATCCAAATGGAAGAAAGAAATACAGAAAATATCTATGAAATACTGTTATAAAATTTGTTAAAATATAAAGTTACTATACAAATATGAGTATTTTTCATTCTACCTATTAATATATTTGTCTTTTTAAAACAGTATGTGTATCTGTAGATATTATGTCTTCTGATAACAAAGATCATAAAGAGTGTAGTTACTTCTGAAGTTTGCAAAGTAGCCCATCCCCAAGTTAACAATTCACTTCTGCAGGCCTCTCATCTGCCAAGGTTACAAAACTGGGCCTTGAAGTCACCCTGAAACTGATTTCATTTTACATGTGGTGGTAGCTCATAATTGTTAGTTAAGGGGCAATAAAAAAATTAATAAGGGGTGATGTAGATTTCTCAGGATTCAAAGACTATATACTGCCCCTTCCTACCTCTTCCCTGAAACCTTTGATATACGACCTTGGGTATACTACAGTTTGCTTCAGTTAATGTCAGACTTAAAAGATAGGTGAAAATCCAGTTGCAGGCTTCTAGGGTGCATTGAATCAAGCCTTTCTTCTAAAGCAGGCTGATTCCGTGATGGAGCTGTGTCCATAGGTTTAATGTTGCTCAGACCAGGTGGCTTTCCCCTGCCTCATAGCTACATGCTACCTGATTACTTTGTCATCTTGAATATGTGTTCAGTACTAATAGGGAGGATTTGATAGCAAGGCCTGTGTATCCATGTTGTTGCTGTTCAGTTGCTCAGTCATGTCCCATTGTTTGTGACCCCATAGACTGTAGCCCTCCAGGCCCTTCTGTCCATGGGATTTCCCAGGCAAGAATACTGGAGTGGGTTTCATCTCCTTCTCCAGAGGATCTTCCCTACCAGGGATCGAACCCGCATCTCCTGCATTGGCAGGGAAGTTCTTTACCACTGAGTCACTGGGGAGGCCCAGGTATCCCCAATAACAGCACCCAAATCAAGCACCACTATTAGGAAAACAGTTTAAACCATGTTGATCATGGGAATCCAATGCGCCTGCATCATTACTAATCATTGTAGTTCAGTCACTAAATCATGCCCGACTCTTTGCGACCCCATGGACTGCAGCATGCCAGGTTTCCCTGTCCTTCACCATCTCCCAGAGTTTGCTCAGATTCATGTCCATTGAGTCGATGATACCATCCAGTCACCTCTGTCACCTCCTTCTCCTCCTGCCCTCAGTCTTTCCCAGCATCAGGGTCTTTTTTCAATTAGCTGGCTCTTCGCATCAGGTGGCCAAAGTATTAGAGCTTCAGCTTCAGCATCAGTCCTTCCAATGAATATTCAGGGTTGATTTCCTTTAGGGTTGACTGGTTTGATCTCCTTGCAGTCCAAGGGACTCTCTCTCAAGAGTCTTCTTCAGCACCACAATTTCAAAGCATTAATTCTCCTAGTCATTGCATGTCAGCTAAGTTTCAACCATTGTGTTGTCCCTTCAAGGTTTGTTGATAGTAAGTTTCCTTGGGTAAAACACTATAAAAGGAAAGGCATGGCTTCGTTATGTTTAAATAAGATAATGTTCTTCTTTGGTCTGTAACATCCCGCATGGGAGACAGACTCTGGAGCTGGCTTTGCAGTTTATTGACTTTGTGACCTGAGGTGAGTTAGCTAAGCTCTCCATGTCGTAGTTCTTCACTGGAGATGTTACGGTTATAGCATACCTGTATGAGTTAAATATACAAAATTTCTGTGAAATACAACCTCCTTTTCTCCCCCCCTGATATTTGCATCTCAGATGTGGGGAAGCCGTAGAGAAAAACAAGCGTCTCATCACGGCAGATCAGAGGGAGTATCAGCAGGAACTTAAGAAGAACTACAACAAGCTGAAAGAGAACCTCCGACCAATGATCGAGCGGAAAATTCCGGAACTCTACAAGCCAATATTCAGAGTTGACAGTCAAAAGAGGTGAGAAGAAGGCAGGGGAGGCTTTTTTCCTGGAGGATAAAGGACAGTCAGAACTGCAGAGCCCCCGGGGGTGGGAGTGGGCCCTGGGATCAGAGAAGCTGCCCAAGCGTGATCTGCTGGCATCCCAATCCTCCTGCGCCTTCTCCCTGACCTCTCGGGGCCCCTCCGTGTGGCCTTCTGCCAGCATCTTCCCAGGGCCAAATTATTGCCTGGGTTTCTCCTGGCATAGCGCAAAGGCATGGTCGCACTTTCCCTTGTTTACTTATTTACTGAGTTCCCCATGATAGATGTCCTTTTCTAGTGAATGATTTTCCCCCTCCCTCTCTTTAAAAGGCTAACTGATCTTTCTTTCCTCTGTTCTTTTCCCTCCTTAATTTCAGAGACTCCTTCCACAGATCCAGTTTCAGGAAATGTGAAACCCAGTTGTCACAGGGCAGCTAAGAAAAACTATCCTACCCAGGAAGACTGGAGTCTCTGTGACCCTGGAGAAGGACCCGCTGGTACCTAAAACAGGATATTTGCCACACAGGATACACCACACGCTCCCTGAGCGGACATACTCTGGAAGTTTTGGGACCCAAGTGACCGTGGGAGTTACACGCAAATGGGGTGCGACCAGACTTCGGACATTTGGCAAATGGAGATGCTGGAGGCTGGTTCATCAGGGGTGCCTGTGTTATTTGTTAAGGCATGCTTTTTCACGTAATTGTACAAAACAAGGCATAAATAGCATCTCCTACTGAGTGGTCAGGCACTGCCTAGCCAAGGGGTGACTTCCTCCCATCTGTTTTTGAGTTTAACCTATATTTAGATAAACCCAAATTGCCCAAGGGAAAATGGAAAAGTTATCCACCAACCTATTCAGAGTGAACTTGTCCATCCCCTTTTTATGGGAAAAAGCTGAACTTGTTGGAATACAAACATTCCAATAAATCTGTGAGGGGAGGGCTTACTAGAAATCAAAAGATCATGAAGCCTGGAAATCTGGGATCAATTATTTGTGAACTTGATTCCCTTTTGGTAATGGTAGACTAATTGTTGTACAGTTATTTTTGCTTTTTTGTTCTGTTACGTTGTTAATTTAACACACTTTAGAGAGGTGCACACTCCAGCACTGATGTAGGAGATACATGGTACTCTGAGTGACCCGCTCCAAGTTGCAGATGCTGCATTTACTAAAATTGAAACAATTCTCCTCTAAAGCATGGCTTTTTTTTCTTACGCTGACTCTTGTATCACTTTTTATTCTCTTCTCTGGGACCAAGTTTATTTTTATAAAAGAATAATACTTCTGCTTTCATTTCTGAGCATTGTGCTGTTTGTCAGCATGTGTACATCAGCTAGAGAATATATTCAGCTTTGGATTCTTTGGACAAAGATGAACAAAGTTATTATTTGAGAATTAAATTATATATTTTTAATGTGACTGATTACCTTGACTGGTACTGAAAACATTATAAGAATTGCAAGCAAAATGTTTCCTTTTGCAACTCCTTTTTTTTTATTTTGACAACTCACAACTCTTTGGTAAAGCATTTCAGAGAAGAAAGATGCCTGATTATGGCCTTGGTCAAACAGTGCTATCCAGGGTCACACCTCATATATAATATTTAGTCTTAGTGGTCATGAGAGAGAATTTCATTTGGATGTCACAGAACTTTTTCATTTATATCATCAGGTATGCATGAATTTATATTCTGAAAGAGGACATTTTTCTTTTAATTACTGAAACTTACTAGTTTAAATGGCAAACCTTTTGTTCTTTAGACATTTGGGGGAGAACTCTTCCTAAAGTACATGGTGTATTTAATTGTTTTCTTAAATGAGTACCTATGACATGCTTTAGTTCCATGTGTTGTTTAGTATCTTCTGTGCGGGAGGCATTGGGTGAGATCAAGGTCAAAGAACATTGTCACTGCCCGCCAGAGCCTCTCAGCGTAGTGAGGAAGAGCATCTGTGTGGCTGTAGCCATAATGCGCAGCAGACTACAAGAGGCAGTATGGAATATAGCCTTTTCTCAGTGACTCGAGAGTGGCCGTCATTATCAACACCAATTATATCGTGCCTTCAGATAAGTAAGGGTTAGCTGCTAAGTCATGTAGGGCTGGCTTTTAACTCTTAAGAGCCCTAAAATCCCGTGACCTAAAATATTCCAGATTAAACGTCCCCTGCTTTCACTTTCGGTCTCTCTTGTATTACAGTGGGTACCACACGCTTCATAGGTACAAAAACTTGTGTTCACTGTTGCACTCATGTCTCCTAGCCTAGAACTCAACACACAGAGACACTTAATAAACATATGTTGAATAATTAAATGAATAACTGAGTAGGCCTGCTTCTAGGCCAGCACTGTCCAATAGAAATATAATATGAGCTGCATATGTTATTTTAAATTTTCTGGTAGCTACATTAAAAAAATCAGGAAAAGAAACAGGTGACATTAATTTTCATGATACATTTCATTTAACCAATATATACAAAATATTATCAATTCAACATGTAATCAATATAAAAATTATTATTAAGGTATTTTACATTCCTTTTTTCATACTAAGTCTTCAAAATTTGTATGTATGTATTTTATACTTAGAGATTTTATACTTTACACCTAGTATCAATTAAGTTCAGCCACATTTCAGGTGCTCATAGTCACATGTGACTAGTGGCTACTATATTGGGTGGTAAAATTCTAGAAACTCTCAACTTTTATGATATGATGCCTCTGATCTGTGTGCCCAGATTATAGATTGGCAAAATAGGAGGAATAGTGTCTAGAGTAAGAAAAAATTCTGACCGAGAGCCCATGGGTTTACCTAGAAGTGAAGCTGGTAGAGTTGGCAGGTGTGAACTCGTCAACAGTGGTTTAACTCATTCTCTTATTGAACTAACCCTGGCTCTTCTCAATTCCAGATAGTTTGCTTGTTCTTTGGGTGTGTGCTCTGTTGTTTCTGACTCTTTGCAACCCTGTGGACTGTAGCCTGTGAGATGCTTCTGTCCATGGAATTTTCCAAGCAAGAATACTGAAGTGAGTTATTATTTCCTACTTCAGGGGAGGTGTTCTTTCTGTAATGGTTATAAATGAAGTGGAGGCATTGCATTTACCTAACGGATGGCATAAACAAACAACTTGGACATCGGTCCTCTGATTGATGATGATGAGTGATAGTCGCTCAGTCGTGTCCGACTCTTTGTGACCCCATGGACTGTAGCCTGCCAGGCTCCTCTGTCCATGGGATTCTCATGGCAAGAAAACTAGAGTGGGTTGCCATTTCCTTCTCCAATGATTGTGTATCCTAACTAGGGGATTAAGAAAGAAGCATTTCAGACATTCCTAAGAGTAAAGCAGATTAGGCCTTTGTATCCTGAAAGTTAGAGAAAGCTGCTATGCGGTGATAGCCCACTTGATTTTACTTTGCAAACTTCTGTACAGGCTTATGGGAGAAACCTGATTAGCTTCATGCCTCCTTTCCTGTAACAAGGTGTTGAGTGCAATTGTCACCAGCTCTTAAGAATCTCAGGAAAGTGAAACCTGAATATATTGAGTAGACCTGATTGAGTTTGTCTTAAATGCCATAATACTATTCAGTAAGAAGTCCTTTCCATAACAATACATTAGTTATAAAAGCAAAAACTTTTAGAGCTGTCACTGATAATTGTGTTTGCAAGTATGTTTGCAAAGACAGGGAACTTTTGTTTTGCTTTAAATGTATTTTTAAATGCTTGTTATCTCAAATGTTGTAATGCTGCTATTGACTAAGTATTTTGCAAAAAAAAAAAAGACTAAAACTAAAGTTTCTCATATATTGCTGTGTATGTCTGCAGTAACCAGTGTACTCTTTTTTGGACTTAAAGCAGTGTTTCTCAATCTTTTTCACATTCTGGGTGTAAATGTTATTTACTGAAGCATAATATAACAGCCAGCCAGCCCCTAAACTCATTAGTTTAACACAGCAGTAAACAATACCTGACGCAGTTCCAGTGGATTAGGATCAGTGTGGATGGGCAGTGTGACTTAAGGTCTTGCATGAGAGGTTGCAATCAGGACTTTGGCCAGAGCTGCTTTCATCTGAAGGCTTGACTGAAGCTGGAGGATTCTGTTCCAAGGTGGCTTATTCATAACTTTGGAGAGTTGATGCTGGTCATTGATGGGAGGCCTCAGTTCTTCTGCCTGTAGACCTCAACCCCTTCTGCATGGGTACTCACTGACTTCCCCCCAGAGTGAGCAGTTCAGGAGAAGCAAGCCAAAAGTGGCCGTGTCCTTTATGACCTAGCCTCAGAAGTCATACTCCCTCATGTCTGCCATATTCTGTTTTTCAGAAGCAAGTCACAAAGTTCAGTTCACTTTCAAGGAGTGGAATGGAGCAGTGTTATAAAATTTTCGAACATATTCTTAAAATCACTATAATGGAGCACATTAAAATCTTGCATTTGTTGTCTCACTGGGGTAAATGGAAGCTACTTGCTTCCAGAGATGACCATCCCTGGCACTCTGGCTGTTCTGAGCCCCTCCCAAGGGCTGGGGTCATCATGCTCAAGTAATATCTATAACTCAGCTCACAGGTGCACCTTGGCACCCCATTTGGGGAGCCTTAGCCTAAGGATAGTACTTAGCTGGCAATCGTTTGTAAGGGACAGAAAACTAAACTTGAATCAGTGTTTTCAAAGGGGATAATGGAGTTAATTGGCTCACTTAATAGATTAACCCAGATGTAGAATTGGTTCAGACCCAGCTGGATACAGGGCCCATACCCCATGTCCTGGGCCCATCTTTCATCTCTGATTTCTCTTGTTTGGCTCCATCCTCAGGCTTTCAGCAGTGCTCCCTGGAAATTCCAGGCTTATTCATCATGAAAAAGGCAGTTGTGCGCCTCACAACCTCATACAACTAAGCTCCACAAAGAAAAGAGATTTGGGGTTCCAGAATTCCAAGGCAGAGTCTTTGGGTTCACTCTGATCGGAGTGACTTAAGCTGAGCCAGGTCTCCCCTCACAGCAGAAGCAGGATGAATATCAACTCCAACCAGAAGGCTACTGACAGTGGAACTAGAGGTTCCTCAGGGAACCAGGAGGAAAGGGGGAAGGAAGCACAACGAAGTGTGCTCCCTGCAGAATATTTCTTTCTCTTTAGTCGCTAAGTTGTGTCCGACTCTTGTGACTCCATGGACTGTACCCTGCCAGGCTCCTCTGTCCATGGGATTCTCCAGGCAAGAATACTGGAGTGGATTGCCATTTCCTTCTCCAGGAGACCTTTCCAACCAAGGAATCGAACCCAGTTCTCCTGCACTGCAGGCAGATTCTTTACTGACTGAGCTACGACGGAAGCCCATGGAATGTTTGCTTTAAGGTAAATGCATTCAGAAGAAGAAACTTAAACTTGTCTGGCAATCAGGAGTACAGTCTATTTCATTTCATGTTCACAACCGTTGACCTAGCACCTTCTCT